TTACGGTCTGTCCTCTTCATCAGTGCATCAGCGTCAGTACGTGTTAACGTTGGTGGGTCTTGTGAGTAATACTGTTCTATCAGGCGATGTCGAGCATTCGTTTACTAGCAGATCCTAGCAAAGGTCTCCTCCGAATCTCTGAAAGAGTCAGCATACATAGTCCCAAAACCGTCCTCGGTCGGAATTAAATTCCTGTAAGAAATACCTGGCGCGCTTGTATTGATAACATAAAGTATGCCCGTCGACTCACCAGCCATCGCCAAATAACCCGTCCTAACTAAAAAGCAGCACCAGATTTCTCGCGCATACAGTCCACGACCTGCCATTGACGTCGATACGCCGAGCGCTAACCATGTCTTCCCCCGTCACTGAGATGAAAGAAATTACAACAATCATACCATATAAGACGATGCGAAGTAATACCGGCAACGTGAACGGTGTCGTGCACCTGCCGAGTGGACGACGCATCATCACATGTTCAACTGACGGCTCACTCCGACTTTGGGGCCTGGAGAGCGGGACACAAATTGGCGATGACTGGCGAGATGAGGGGAATAAAGTAAGAATGTTCTCAATAGCATTGTCTCCAAATGGCAGCACTATCGCAAGCGGAAGCGGCAATAATGGGGCAGTGAGGTTGTGGGACGTGGAGAAGGCAAAGGTCATTGTCGTATGGAAATGGCACATGTTGAGTGTAGACTCAGTGTGCTGGAGCGCAAGTGGTGATCGAGTGCTGAGCGTATCCGAGGATGGGGCAAGAATATGGGATGTCAAGAGCGGCAAGACAGTCCTGGGTCCCATCAAGACTAGGCAAACGTGGGTGGACACGGTGATATTCTCACCCGACTCGACAAAATTTGCGACGGGGGGACTCCAAGACGGAATAAAAATCTGGGATGCAAAGACGGGCGCACTGCTCACAATAATCAGACATGATCATTGGGTTAGAAGCTTGGCCTGGAATGGAGAGAAACTCATCTCCGCGTCAAATAGCCTGATTAGGATATTTGACACAGCCACTTGGCAGCAGATTGCCACTCTGCAGGGTCACAGAGACTGGGTCAACGCTATTACCTGTTCCCAAAACGGCCACCTCCTTGTGAGTGTGTCAAATGATCAAACAGCGCGTCTGTGGAATCTCGACACAAACCTCCAAGTCGGACCTCCCCTCCAGCATGACAAGAGAGTAGAATGCGCAGCCCTTTCTGCTGATGGAACTGTGCTAGTCACTGGCAGTGGCACAGATGTGTACGCATGGGATATTCATGCCATTCTCAAAAAAGCTGGTCTTGAAGACCTATTAATCATTGTGGGTGTTAATATATCACCCACTCCCTCACTGACCTCATATTTGCTGCTCAAACGAAGGCATCTCAAGGCGAGCCAGAGCGCACCCCCCGTTCCTCAATCAGTGACAAGTCACTGTTGGAGGTACGTGACGTATTTCCAAGCCTTCCCATTTGTTAAATAACAACAACATCCCAGGCTGATGCCACACGATGTCACGATGAGTTTTGGGGTTTCGATGGACTTTCACCACGGTTTTTCGATGGTACGGAAGCCGGTGATGGTGTGCGTCATCAGTATTTCTGTAAATGAGTTCGTGTTCAGACTTTTGTGTTTTCAGTCCTCATCAACGGGTGGTGGCCACCCTCATTCCTCTGCAAGTGCACTCCTTGCTCGCCTTGCATCGCTTCTCCGTCGCTTTCGACCCAACAACGCTGAACTTCCGCAAACCCCAACGCCTTCGTTGTTACATCCGCGGGTGCTCCTAGACCACCTGTCCTTACTCTTCCACCACTCTCCGCCCTACAATGATGGAGAAAACGAACCTCAACCCTGCACACCTTCGGGGTTAGATCTACACGCTCTCTTCGCTCGTCTATCCTCACTTTTGCCCCGCTCTCAGCCCGATTCGAGAACTGGACCTCATCCCACAACGCCTTTGAGTTCACGTCCATTTGTCGATGTCCTGTCCTCATTCTTCCGCTCTCAACCTCGCACCAGCGAAGTAATCGAACTCTCGCAACGCACAACAACTCCTCATGTTGTTGAAATACCTGCAATGCGGGACAGGGAGGTATATCTTTCTCCGGTGTATCAATTTCTGTTGTCTGATGATTTCTATCAGGTCTTATTTGTTGCCCCTCCGCCACTGCCACACCGCCCAAACACTCAGCCTAATGGTACTACCACACCAGGTGGAAGACCTGCGTATTCACTACCCGTCCGAATGTTGGCTCATCTCGTGCTTTTTCTCTGTTGCGCGTCCCCTCGACACCCTGATGGCAATGCACCCTCAACACAACAGCAGCAAGGTCAATCGCAAGGTCCAGTTCAGACCCAGACTTCGCCACCGCAGACTCAGCCTGTCACCCTATTGGTGTCAACGTCCGCAGTACCCACTGCTCCTATTGCTCCGCGCCAGGCCGACACGTGCAACAACCCTGTAGCTACGGCCCCTTCCATTGTGGATTCGTTTCGCGGTTCCTCTCTACTGTATCTCTCTCACATGCAGATGGACATAGGTACTGCAGCATACAGACACCCATTTACATTTCATTTTACTGTCATTTCATTTCTCGAGCGTGTTTGATTTCCACAGCCGCCTGGTTGGTTTCGACGTTATGCAGTGACGCGATTCAAGCAGTCGCCAGTGGGTCGTTTTTTCTCACCGCAGGAAGCCTCAATGTTTGCAGATACCTCATAGTACTTATAACTCCTGATTGTACCAGAATGACCGAGCAGTCCTTCTAGCGACATGATTGGCATTTTGTAAAATTTGAAATGCGTGTCTGAAGAGAGTGAAAATATTCATTGCGCACACAGAGCATGACTTCTGGCGTCTTTCTGGTTGGGGATGACATCGTCTATGCTTGATGGCAGATCGTCGATAATGTGCACGAGATACGCTCGCGAGGATCGACTTTGAATGAGAATGGGTTGTCTGGCAATGGCAAAGATGACTGTGCCAGTGAGCCGACGGGTCTATCATTGTCAATAAAACATTGGGCAAAGCTGAGCTATGGAGCGAAAATAAGGGATGCAAAATAGGGTCGTCTACTCGGAATACGTTTACACACCTCAAGATGAACCTACTTGGTTGGACCCATCATCGATACTTGAAGGTTGGTAGAAGATATCTTGCTCTTGGAGTCTAAGACATCACCTTAAAGACCAGTCGGTTGCTTGAGTTTCATAGTACAGTGCAATGAATATCTACATGAGCGGAGGAGAGAATGTCCCTTAACTTTCATTCTCTTGGATACCTTGAAGCATTCCTCTTGTTAGCAAAGATTATCGATATACTGCATGAGTCTCACGACGAGAAAATACGATTGACGGCCGGGAATAGGGCAAGACACGGCGAAAGGAATAGAGATAGAATAGAATTTTTATTATTCTACAGCATCAATTACCATCGGTGCTTGGGGAAAGGTACGCAACAAATCAGAGGTACAAGACGAGCCAACAATGATGAAGAGTCGTGACTATACGGTTGGTACACCTGGTGCGGTAGCCTGAGTACTACTATTGGAGTAGATTGTGTTGTGGACATTGAAGTAGCGGCAGGCTGAGATCGTGATGATGACCCCTGGCCATGCAATTGGCTGCTCTTGTTTTCGCCGGGGAGCAACAAACAAGGACTACAGAGGAATTATTGTACCCACGAGGATGGCGATCTGTTCCCAAGTGGCAGTGTCGAATATCCTAATTGGGCGATATGATGAGCAGATGCAAGAGCGCGGCGGCCTATCCCAGAAGACAGGCGTGAAGCCCGATCGGTCCTGCCAAGTGATACTCTGTCAGGAGGTTCCGAAAATCCATGCGATGACAGCATTGCAAAGACGAGAAAGACAGGCATGCGGTTGCAGCTACGTACACTCAACAGCTGTGCTCTGCGACATCAGGTTAACAAGCAGTAGAAAACCCATTTATAGTCTCTCGGGGCGTACCCTATCCCGACTGGTTACAGGACTAGAGCTCCCACTCGCCGGCAAGTTGTAAGTGATAACACTATGATCGTGGAAGCACTGTCGGGATTCTTGTCTTTTTCATTTCCGATGGAACTGGGCATTTGTATGTCTCTTGGTCTGGCCTTCACCGTGGTAATGGGTAAAACTTGACTTCTTTCTTTCGCTTGTAGATCTCTGGAGTCTGGGCCTTCTGTCAAAGTTTGAGTTTACGGAAGTCGCACCCGCCTTGTCGCAGTGGACATACGTTTTGAAACGCAGTTGTATTGTACATAGGCAGTGGTGACGCGACCAAGAATCTGAGCGTCACAATCCTGGGCGTTGAATTATATTCTGTTGAAGTGAAGTACTCACGCCTGCATCTGCAACACCGATCTAGTTCTTGATAGTGTCCTGACTGTCACGTCCACAGTGCGCACAATGAGACGTTACCTCAGCACGATTACGTGGGTGGACAAAAATTTGGTTGCTCACGGTAAGGTCCTGTATGACACGGGTATTCCGCAAGTATGTACCTTGCTTGATATGCCCTTGGCTGCATGCATATGGCGCCGATTTCATGAGAGAAGAAAAGAACCCCGCAGCTATCAAAATTCCGGTCGGCCTGAGGAGCCCATCAGCAAATGTGCAGGCACCTGGCCATACCTGGTAAACACCTGAACGTTCTGTTCGTGTCCTGGATATCCTATTCCGTGCACCGGTTGCCAATGACAACGACTCGATGGACATTCACGATGCTATTTCATTGTCGGATGACGAGGATATCAGTTGGTGAGTCTCAATTGCACATAACAGCTTTAGGTTGATATTTGTCACCTCGCAGGTGAACTGAATGGTATGACATGAATCTGATAGGTACCTTGGTGTTATGCGCCACCAAAATTCGTCCCTCCGCTATTAGATCTGGTGGCAGTCTGTAAGATGCCTGGGAGTGATCTGGTGTGTTTCTGTAAGGTCCCGGAGCGTAATCTGGTAGCAGGATATGACAAAAATTTGGTCATAGTAGATGCATCTGAACACAGCCGCGGACCTGGGGACCTGAAAGGCTGGATCCAGAATGTCTAGAATGTCCAGGACACTCTGCACATTGGCCGATGGCCTGAGGTTCACATGTCACCGGGCGGATAACTGTCTGTAGCGGCATTCAAGAAGCATGTACCTACGTATCTGAAATGTCAAGTAAGGTAATCGTAGCAATAAGAGCGTGTTTAGCGTCAAATGAAGCAATATAAAACGTGCAGCGCACGCACCTCTTCAGCTACATCCGAAATCACTTTACCAAGTTCATTCAACCGTGCTCAACAACACCAACCTCCAGTAAAATGGCGCAACCCGTTCCTATTGTCACTCCTACTCGAGTGTTCGAAGATCGCACACATACGGTCTACGCAGTCGCAGACGTTCCCTATAGTCAACAGATTGTGACCTCCTCTGAAGACAGGCTAGTTCGTCTATGGGACTTGAAGACAGGTGAAGTATTGAAGAAAATGGAGGGGCACACCAGTGAAGTCATGGGATTGGCGGTATCGCGAGATGGACAAATGATAGTGACCGGTGACCAGAACGGAGAGCTCATCGCCTGGCAGACAAAAACTGGAGAATATCTCACCAAACCTATCAAAGTCCACGGCAGTGCAGTCCGCTCACTGGACTTTTCACCAGACGATGCGTTCGTCGTCACTGCGTCGTCGGCACCAAATGACCAAAGCGTAAAGTTTTGGAACACCAAAACATGGACGCAATACCCCGTAAATTATAACTGCGGTAGTACTGTCCGCTGCGTTCGGTATGCGCGGTCTGGCGTATATATGCTTGCGGTTGCAACAGACCAAGATATCCAAATTTACGTTGGCGAGAAACTCCAAAAGAGGTTCAAGGGTCACAGTCACGGTACATTGTCACTCGCCTGGTCTCCTGATAGAACACGCCTTCTTTCAGGGGGAGATGACCATGATCCCACTATAAGGGAGTGGGACACATCGAGCTGGACGCAGGTCGATCTTCCCTGGACGGGTCACACATATAAAGTCAATTCCATCGCCATCAATGCTTCTGGCACGCATGCAGTTTCCGCCTCTAGCGACAACTCTGTTCGTCTCTGGCAGCTCTCTGATAAACATACTATTGCCATCTTCCAGCACACTTCTTCTGTCGTTTGCGCAGCCTTCTCCGCGGATGGCACGCGCATCCTTAGCGGAGGTTATGATAAAAAAGTCACAGAGTGGACGGCACCCATGGGTACTTCGCCAGTGGACGCTTCCGAGGAAAAGGTAATTTCCTGTCGGTCTACCTTCCTCCCATTATCTCATCTTGCGTTTAGATTTTTAATTCGGTTCTACAACCTGCCCCGAAGTGGGAGCCAGCGTTCGAGTCAATGGTAATCTCTTATTGATGTAAACCTTCACCATCTCATCTTGTGTCCTTTCATCAAAAGGTTCCAGCTTTTAATTCCAAGATTCGAAAGCGTGCTTCAACTCTGAAGGTAATTCCAATTAGTTACACGTTCGTCATCTCATCTAATATCTTCATTTATATTCAAAGGTTATAGAACCTGATTCAAAGACTGAAAGCTCAGATTTCAAGTCTCTACAGGCAGTTTCGACGGCCACAAGCTTCGATTCCAAGTCTCAGCAATCGTCTTCGACAGTCCAGTCTATGTTGAATGAGCGGCTCGCTTCCAAGGATGAGCAATCTGTTACCGAGGAACAGTTTGTCTCCAAGTCTGAGCAGTTTGTTTCAAGGGTATGATTTTATTCTCTGCTCGTATGGCGCTATTTGAGCTTTTTTCACTCAGACACTTATCATCACCGCGGATGAGCTCCTCGCTATCACCAAGACCATCCGTATTGCATCCATCACAGGGGACTTGTCTACCGCTGAAAAGGTCCTCACTCAAGAGATTACCGCCAACGCCAAGAACTTCGCCTCCTATGCCAACCGCTCTTTCGTTATGGCACGCAAACTTAACTGGGAAAATGCGCTTCGGGATGCAAACAAGGTGATAAAGATCCATCACGCCCTGGTTAAAATTTTACTGACTTCGATGGTCACATAGTCCCTTGCCATACAGACATCAATGGCTGGCTATATCGCCAAAGGTATTGCTCTCTGTGGAAAGCAGCTTGTCGAGGACGCAAGGACAGCCTTTGATTTAGCATTCACGTTCACGCATGGAAATATGGATGCCACTGTGTTCCTTTACTTAATCAAGGTAGGTTGATTTTTTCGTCATGTGTACTTCGCACTTCATTGTGTATTTTAGGCTATTGCGCTCTTCAATGCTAACAGACACAAAGAGGCATTGCTGCGTGTGGAGCAGTTGTCTGCTTATCCTTCTGCAGATCCCCTCGCTTGTGGTGTCGTGGTGGTGAGTCTTGTGTACTCAATCACACTTATGTTCGTCCGCTGACTGATGGGACTGTGCTTCATGCATCAGGCAAGTCTGCGAGTCCAACTAGGAACTATTGCTTCCAATAGGTGCGCGTCATAGTGAAGCCATCGAGCACTTCACTGCCGCTGTTAAGGCTAGCACTTTCTTGGCTAAATCTGCCGCTCCTGCTGCTTGCGAGGCTTTCACTGTGGTACGTTTAATATGACGTCACCGGAAACTCACCCATGCTCAACTGCGCCTGTTTTGCAGCTCTTTGGATGGGACATCGGGGCGTTGTGGAAAACCTCCAACAAGAAACTGATCCTTGCACTCCTTGGGGCTGGCAGGCTTGGAGAAGCTTTCGAATCGTACCGTTTTGCGATGGACGCAAGTGATGAAGCTACAAAGACCAGCTTACGTTCTTGGGTCTTGAGTGAGTCCTTCCAGTAATGCCGCCTATGCCACGATGCTAATCCTTTGTTCACCCAGCTCTCTCGTTGTGATGAATGTCGCAGTTGCAAGGATCGCATATCCTCTACGCACTGATCCAGTACTACAGATTAAGGCGCGAGTCATTTCGAATGCATCATTGGTGTGAAAACTTCTATTTTTCACATCCGACGTTATTGGATACATTTCCTTATCCTTTAGAGCTTTCTTTCTTCCCCTGCGTCACTCTATCCTTTATTTGACGCTTTGACGTCGCCTTCCCTCATAAGCGTCTCACCCAATCACGTTGGTTACGCCTCGTTGCTCACTGCCTTCAATCCTTTATCACTATGTCTCCTTCCTTCATTCATTCATGCTCATTTTGACCGTTGAGCCAGCCCTGTACTTTCTTATTCCTTTGCAGAATTGTGTTCGGTGTTTTCCTGCTCCAGGCACGTCCGAAAGCCTCAAGAAAGTCTCCGTCTCTATCACTCGTCAGAGTCAAACGGACTTTTCCATCACTACGAATCCCTTCGAATTCACCATCAGCCTTACACAATATGCCTTCCCCGCGAACTGTTACATATGCATAGATTGACACGCGGGTATCTTCTATGGATTTACTTTGGTTATTCCTGTATCATGTTTCCCTGTTACTTTTATTGGTATGCTGGCTTAGACCAATGATTCTACAATGCTTCCCTCCACGCCACCGATAGTCCCACTATTCATTATAAGTCCTGCGACGGCGTGTTTGTTCGAAGTGTACCCTTCTTCGATTTCTTCACATTCAGTTCCAGACACTTCGATTTGTCTGCATCGATTCAAATCATCACACCGACTTGATCGCCCGCTCGAACCGGAATAGCACGACTCGAAACCTTTTTGGCAGCATGTGTCCACAAGCGCGAAACTTTGTATGATACACGAATGAAACATCTTAATGCTCCAACTCAGTCCGAGGACGCAACCAAAGACAACGCACCCTCTCTCATGACTTTAAAAGTTTTCATGCCACCCCAAGAACACGCTTCCGCTCACATCATCCCAACCTGGCATCCCTATACCCATGTAAACATCACCAACATGTCCCGAGCATCCTAGGAGAGCGATGTTTATCTTTAACGACTCCACGTGGTTCAGTATCGGGACCACGGTCGGTGGTAGATATCACACCCTAGAATTACCAACGCATGCATCGGGAGCGCGTTGTGAAATGTTACACGTTCTTCTCTGGTACAGCAGCCCATGCACTGGAAGACGAGAGAATGATCGTAAGCACATTTTTGAGTCAGACTCCGACAGCGATATTAAAAGACAACACTTACAAGACCGTGACATTCTTCGTGTAGCGGCTGTCCAGGAAACATCCCATCCCATCCCATCCTATCATGATGTTTTCCCGTTAAGGTGGTGTTCAAAGAATAAGGTTACGCGAACGTTCGGGCTCTGGTGTGTACCGAGGGGAGGAAGAGGGACTCCAACCCGAAGCCACGAGCAAGGAAAAGCCGTAAATGAAGGCACACCCAAACCGAGAAGGAAGGCGGTGCAGGCCCGAAAAGAAATGTCTGGAGATTTTCCACGTGCAGTGGTGCCAGAAGTTCAAGAGGGCGTCAATAGTGGAGGAAAGAATCGGAGGATCAACGTCCAACGACATCGAGTGGGACTCCTGACAAAAGAAATTCCGTTGTTCCACCGATTTGAATGCGGAATGAGTAGCCCGAGGAAGTGGAAAGGCCAGAGCTGGCCCAAATGGCATTGCACTGTGCGAGCAATTTTCTGAGGGAGCGGTGAACTTCTGGTACCAGGCTCATCCTTCAGGATGAGCAGGCTACATAGTAAGTTTTTGGTCAAGCAAGATCTCTACCTACACAGGCAGCGCTTCCCAAGTCCGATGGTTCGAAAGCAAAACCATACCTGAATACGAGAATAAAACTACAAACTCGAAGAAATTACAGGGTGCTACATTGTTGCTATAGTGCTACGAGCTGTTCGACACAGTACAACACAGCACCATCAGCGACCGCCTTACTGCTGAAAATAAGATAGGTGAGCTTGAACCGTTGTTGGTTACTGATGCTCACCAATGGTTATCAGGTCGACTGAATGCAATACCAAGCGAATGAAAATATTCCTGCAACCTTGCGAACATCCAGTCGCTCGCAGCAAAGTCCCCCATGAATGATACAATCTTCAGGTGGTGGACAGTCAGTCACTGACAGCACTTGCAATTAAGTGCAATGAATGAATGACTAACTGTAATTGGAATGCTTGCATTCATTCTTTGGGTTTCAAAAGCCTCGATAATGCTAGCAATGGAAGGTTCGAAGAGTTCTGCGACATCTTGTCTTTTAATAGCCACGTGTTAGACGTCGATGGCTCGAGAAGCCTATAATCCTTACCCATTCAATTTAAGTTGGCCAGAACGAATATTGAACTGGGTATCTTTGTCGCGCAAGGTACCGAATCTGATATATGACGACTCTTCCGGGTTGCGAAACCTGAATTTGGTGGTTTTGTCGAAGATGTCAGTCATCTGCTGTACTATCTCTGGTGTACCGAAACGACTGCCTGATAGTTTTTCTGCCAAGTCATTCCATTAGGAATTAACACAGAAAACAGGAACTGCTGGCAAGCCTTGAAGAAGACCACGAGCACGGCGGGTCACGAATCCATAACCTTGCAGTCGACCTAATGAATGGAGAATGAGATGTGACTCGAGAATATCATGAGACTTACACTCGGCCGGAGCAATCTCTTCAATCATCAATGGGGATAAAGTCATTGAGTAGGCGTTAAGGTCGATAGTCCAATTTCCCGCATCGATAATGACAATACCTTGGCTATCAGAGGCGACAATTGGTGTCTGTGACAGTGTTTCTGACGCCAGGATACTATGATAGATGACGTAGTGCAATTTTGCTTCTCCTTCACTCAGCAAATGAACACGGGCCATGTCCTCTGCCGTACTGGAAACGAGACCGCCAAAGACGGCAGCTATCCAGATTTGTCGCTGCTGCGGACCCTCCAAGCCGTTTGGATAGGTAAAGACAAACTCGATGTGATTTTCGAGTAACCCCCAAAGTCCGTTCCCATTCGGTAAACTCTCCTTAATATAAGTGCGTGCACAACGAAAGAGGTATTGCATGAAGTCGCCGAGCACCTCAATGACATGCTTGCCTCGTGGAAGAGGCGGGCAATCGGTATAGGAGGCAGGCTGAGGATGCACAGCTTGTAGGTGAAGTTTCCACCTTTCAAGTGTTTATATGGTCAATTACGCGAACACGAATAGTACCAGACATACCATTCAAGCTTCACCCATCCTTCTTCCTCAGCTCTTTCAATAACATTCATCTCTTGAGTTTCAGCACCAATGGCACAGGCAATTCCACTCGTGTTATAGTATAGTAAAGAAGGTATCTTCGAGTCGCCTCCGATGTATTCTTGGCCTGGGTATCTAATATTCGCATTAGTCGATAATAAACCATGACTTGATGGAATCCGAATACCGACTTGTCGACAGAGCAGATAGTAGGAACTTCTCCGGGACTGAGTATACAGTAGGAGACATTGCTGTGTGTAATGCCTACGTCGAAGGCGAGGACCAACTTTGGGTGTGGTCCGAAGTATGGCTGTTCATAACGGTTAAGCGTGGCCGTCATGGTTGAGTGGCACGGTTATCAGGGAAGCTTGAAGGTACTTAGAAAGCACGGCGGTCTTCAGATTCCTTATCAAGGCCTGACTACATTCAAGTTGCCTAAACCAACACCTATTGTAAGCTCGTGGTGTGCTCGTAAGGCGTCAAAGAGGGCGCCAACATCCGTTGGCTGGTCACATGGTGAGCATGACCCGGTTGTTGGTGGTAGATTCAGAGTACTAAATGGTCGGAACGAACCCACGCCTTATGTGCTGGCTGTTGTTGCTGACGTACTCGCTGGCTGGGAAAGGTGGGCACAACCCCGGGATAGAGTAAGCTTCAGCGGACGGTGTAACACGGCGGGCAGACTTTGGGCATCGACTGGAAACTCCTGAGTCTCAGACTTGTACGGATACACAAGCGTGGGAACAAAATACCTGCCAGTCTAATTACTAGGGGTATGTCGAAGACTGAGACTTTCTGTCTGGACTCCGGACCCGGCCTGCCGCTAGATAAGCATCTTGAAATCTATTAACTTGAAATAGTTGTGCTTTCGGGTTTACATGTGCAACTCATTTTGTTGAGTACATCGGAAAGCCAGGCCTTGATGCTGGTATTCCATCATGATGCAGAATAATCCAACAGGTTGAGTCGCTGTTCTCCAGCGACAATTCATTGCCTCCGACTCTAGATTTACATATTCTCTATCCTATAAACGACATGCATCAAACGAGCACCACACTATCCAACACCGAAAACCCAGCTGCAACCCCGCCCTCATTACTCTCTGTCCCCTTGGTCCTCACAAGCCATCCCACCTCCCTCTCCACCACCTCTCCCACTCCAAACAACGCATACCCAAAGAAGCCCAGCTCAGAGATAACCTCTGCGCGTACGACTTTCTTCTCTGTACTCCCGTTGTCTGTGCCTGAACTCGACGGAGATGCGCGTACGAGGTAACCACTTACCCCGCGTGGCGTCTCGATCATCTCCATTGCGATCCAGGCTTCGCGCTCTTCAGCGGGCAGAGCATCTAGGAACGCAGGAATGGCTTTGCGGTAGACGTTGTTCCCACCTCCCTCACGCTGGGGCTTTAACACGAGCGACGGGGCCTTAAGGCGCGCGAGACGTGTTCCGGGCGGTACGTTTTCTTGTCCTTGTCCTGAAACCGGGAGGTGATTAAGCGCAGCGGCGATATCAGCATCCTCTGAGTCGAGCGCCCACATGCCCATCCAGGTGGCTCGGATGTCTGCTGCATGCGCTGTGAGATCGAGAGCGCGTGTACCCCATTTTGCGCCTTTGTTACTGAGGAAGCGCTCGAGTACCCCGGGGCGTGTGAGTGCTTCTTGGACCTTCTTCCCGCCTGCGAGTTGGAGGGGAAGGGAGGGGCATTTGATAGCACGGCTGCGCTCCAGCAGGAAACGCGTGTCGTAGTAGGAGGGTGACGGGAAGTCCGAGGGGGTGTAGGATGCGCGGAAGTAGATCGTGGAGATTTCGTATGGTGAGGGATTGGTTGGGGAAGGGATGGTGATTGTGAGTGCTTGCGTGGAGGGGTCGAGGGATGCAGAGACGGCTAGGTCAGCGAGTGTTTGACGGACAGCATGGATTTGATGTCTGTCGTTCTGGTTAGTCTGTGGATGGTAGGAGAGGTGGTGATGTACTTCTCGAGCAATTCATACTCTAGCCATCGTTGGTCGAAAACGTTGCGTTCGTTGGGTTGCACGACGAACAGGATGCGCGCGCTGGGTCGATGTAAGTTCACGAATACATGCATACTTGAACGAAGTTAGAACTGACTCTCGAACGCCATAAGCTTCGTGAGCCTTGGAGAGACCTTCAGCGAGACCAGAGGTGGTGCCGTTCTCTGGAAAATTGTCTGCAGTAAGATGTGGAGATGCAGAAAAGTAGGAGGTAGATGCCAGGATATTTCTATGCCGCATCAGTTTCTACGAAAGATATCCAGGAAAACTGAACACACCTATGCATAGCAGCCGCACGCTCAGAAAGCGGACCAAAGGACGAAGATATAGTATTAAACTCGACCTGCTTCAATGCAAGTCTATCTTCTGCAGCATGCAACATATAATCCGATCTAAATAGGCCGAGGTGCAACGGCTACGCGCCATCAACGCCCCGCCATGCGACAGAAGAAAGAAGTCTCAAACCCACTTGTACTGGTACGCCATGCTCCCTGATCTTCTTCCACCCCCTCCACAGCGTCCCAGTGAACTCATCCGCCTTGCCTACGCCCTCCTCAGCGCCCATCACTGTATCTAAGAATTGTGTATCCATCGCTACACGTGAGTAGAGCACGTTATATACGCTCTGTAGCCCTCTTGCAGCCTGAATTGTGCACGGGGGAAGGGCGCGGGAATGAGTGAGAGGGGGGCATGGATCGCGGTGGTTGGTATGCGTGGTTGGGTATTGGATGGTGATTGAGAAGGTGGAAGGTATAATAATCCATGCGAGAGCGCGTATGTAGTTGCAGGCGAGCGTCAGAGCTTCTAGTTGCTCTGGAGTTAGCTGGGGAGGCCAGGTGGCGAAATTGAAGGAGGCCATCAATGAACGAGGTTACGTACCGACAAATTATAAGCAGATAAGATAAGTGCACCACGTGCTCACTAAAGTTGCATAAGCGGACTCACTGAGATTCCTTCTTCTGCCACGACGTCTACATGATATGTTCACAGGTGAGGTGCATAATACATATCGTGCGCCAACAACGGAAAACACACGTCGCTCTCGTGCAGTCCTCTGCACAGTCATGGTGAACACGTCATCCAGGAGAGCATGAAACTCTACGAGCCGAAACGCTCACCCTGACGGAAAGCAACAAGTTCAGCGATGACGGAATTGTCATGCAATCCGGAGGTAGGCCAATCCAATTTGTACTAGCCTCAACCAAGCTCACAGCAACGAGCTTGAAGCAGTGAGGTCAACTCGTTTGAACTGACTGGCGACAGTTATGGCAACAGTACCGGGGTCGACAGAATGATGCAGATACAGTAAGACTACCGAACACCGCAGCGCCATAGATGCAACTTGATTGAAACTTACATAAAATACTCCCGTTGGTGTGTGCTAGCATGTTTTTTGGCGCCCATGCTGCAATATTACTTGTTTGCGGGAGGGCAGGTCAAAATCCACTCATACGAAGTAGTCACTGGGCATGTATTTCCACCCTTCCCACAAATTACAGTGTTTGAGTTCAAGATTAGATCTAGATTCTACTTTGCTTACTCGCGAGTTGCAGGTAAGCCACTGAAGGCAGTGCGGTGGCGTCTCATAGTAGTACATCATCATGAATGATCCGAGTCCTACAGCCTTATTATTCATCCCCCCCCCTTGATCGCTCTCCTGATCAGTGTCGGCGACTCGGCGTTGGTGTTGCAATGCTTGGTGTATCTTGGCATGACAATGATGTGTAAACGTTGTAACACAGCCATTAGTTGTAGGTGCTTAAATGGTGAAGTTACGCGTAACGCACAACGAGAAGCGTCGATCTACTGTCCACAAACTTGATGAGTCAACCTACTGCTTTGTATGTCGACGCTGGCGTTCAGGCATCTAAGGTGCGCAACAAGTCGAGCTCTAAACAACTTTGATTAATTCTTAGTCCACCCAGCACTTCAATGGTAGTGTTCTTATCTGATACTTGTATGAATACCATGGCTGACTGAAATACCTAGTCGGAACGTTTGCTGTTTTAGTGAGTGTAATCGCTGACCTGACCTCAGGGGTATGTGATGCTGATGTTCTGACTTAGATTTTTGACTATTTCATTACCCTAGAGGCAGAGGTGCGTGTAGTGCGTTGATCGCCTAATTATTTAATGACCGCCCCAAAGTCACAGTGGGTCTGGCACCGCAAATGGACGTTTGTGCGATTTATATTCACTGTATCACGATACTTGCCATTTTTCGGCATTGGGATGACATTTATTGGTGAGCTACACGTGTTTTAACTCGCTTTTCGCGATGATTCCTTATGGCTGATGGATAGGTGCACTTCGAACGCAATACTATCCTGGTGAAAGTGTGAGTGATTGCACCCGTTCAACGCACCAATATTCACAGCAACTGTGCAGTGTGTCAGATTTGGGCAAGCTTCTAACGGTTAGCGTGCACAGACTACGGTACATTGCTTTTCTGATCCACCCCTTACTCAGTGTTGCACATCATCTGCATTATAGCCGCAGAGGGTATGTCATATCATAAATGAGCTCCCGATGCTGACATTTTCCCTCTAGGCTTGCTAATAACGAGGATTTATGCTTCCTGGAGCAGTGAGCGTCTACTGACATTCCTTTTGGTTTTTCCCGTCGTATGTTTTTCGTTCACCTTTCACCATAGAAGGATTGATGCTGAACTACTACCAGGTTTGTTTCGTGGTCTCTTATCTCATATCGGACACTCCCCTGGTTTTTAATTCCAAGAACACGACCCCGATTAACATACGTTTGTGATGTGCTCTTTGATTTTCGTGACAATCATGCTCATGGAGGGTGGACAGCGGATCCGGGCAACTGTCTTCTCTTGGGCGGGAGGAATAACGTCTTCGAGTACGCCGCTCTGTTACTCTATGAACTAGGTCAGTCGTCACGTCTCTCAAGAAGATTGTCGGACCCATGCATGAATCAGTCCTCTTGTGCTTGATGTTGTACATCAGATTCAGCAAGTACGGCAATGCCGTCGGACTACTCCAAGAAACGTTTTTTAATGACTCAGTGAGATATATGATGTGTATCATGGGTAAGATGATTATGTTCGCCCAGACTGGCCCGGGTGCTAACTTCCTACTATTTATCAAGTCATGTCTTCGTTCAGTATAATTTTGACCATGGTTCCTCCGGTGCGTTGCAGTACATCTGGTCAGCCATCCACGCGCTTATCGTTCAATACAGGTTACGTGGGTTTCGATCACAGACTCGTAAGCACATCAACTTGCACGACTGCATCACCAACTGATTATAACCAGCCCGCAAATCGTCATCCACAGTGTTCTAGCCTCTCGGATACTTTTCAACTTACGAGCAAGTGAAAGACGATCACGAATTCATATAACACAGACGGATGCATCTGAGATACAGTTTGGAGGAGATATATTTTCGACAGTGATATTCGATGCTTAATCAACGTTATGTGTGCAGTGCAGGAGCTCGAAACTAGGCTGGAATATCATCAGGGCACTGAATGGATCGAGCGCCATACCTCAGCTGCAGCGTGTTCACCTTCCAAATTAGGAGCCAACGGTTGAGGGATCTGGAAGTGAAGGGTCTCGACGTTGCATTCATTCAGTCCATTTTCAAGTGTTGATCTCACGAGATCGAGCGAACGGAACGCTCAATGGTTGTATCGTATCGTCATAGAATATGCCAGTGAATATGCCATCATCCAACTGCAAGATGTTGGAAGACCTGTCACGTCCGCGATGTGTAATAGACTTGGTCGGACAGCGCAAGAAAAGCCAAAAACGTAGCTGACGCGAGTCGTTTCATCTTGTGCAGGAAGGTTCTACATAGCGATGCTGTGTAAATATGTAATGCAGCTGGGTTCTGGTGATGCAACTAGTAGAAACCCCAATGATTCGAATTTTCGCGCCGACAGAGGCTGCCCTTTCTGCGGGATCTTGCTTCTCACCTGTGCGTGCCACTCCATCATTCCGAATGGTTGATAAGATTGAGAATCGTGTATGCACTTTCGATTGCCGCTACCAGTTCACTCGGATTCACTAGACCGACGCTGAACAATGTCTAAGAAAGCAGGTTCATATTGAGTTTCGTGTGTGCTGGCCTGGAAGCCTACAAATGGTAGTATACTGTGCTTTAGACCTCAAGGAATTCCGCGAGGTTCTCAATGAGCTCGGTCAGTCGAGTAGCCTCATACTCGGCGAGCTCGTGATCCTCGTCATAGACAATAGCTTCTGTTAGGCCTGGCAGTGTCGTTGGCGCATACCCTGTTGAAAATCATCAGCTAGACTGCACACTAGTATCATAGAGAGGCTTACCAAGGTGTTTCCCGGGAGCAACGCCCAAATGTCTGTACCATTCCCTATCTTTAATGCCATCCTCAGAGAGAAATCCGCGTTCAAACGCTGTGAGCTTTTGATTGGCGACTCTGACTCTCTTAGCGGCCCGTATGAAATCACATAGCGGACCCTTGCCACGCGACTTGCAGATATCCATTTCCGAGCAACTGGACTCTGTTACAGACGACATCCATTTGAGTGCGTCGAACCTCAAATCTTGGACCTCCTGTGCACCAATGCCGAGATGCTCCTTGACCCATCGGATGACCCGCCGAACAACGGGGGGACCGCGAACACGACGGACTTTCTTCAAAGCCTCATGGAAAGCCTCTTCGGCAGAAGCTTTCTCCTCGTCAAGCTTGAAGCTTGCATCCTGCAGTTTTGCAATGGCCCTCCTGAGAGGGAATAGATCTGGCAGAATCTCTTCACGGTAAGTAGACTCGATGACGCTGGAAAGGGTTAGTACAGCATATAACGCGACTGCATTTGGAGACACTCACGTGTCGACGTAGGAGTCAAGCTCCAGCGCATACTGAGTGGTGTTGAGAGGGAGGATTATGGAATCTGTGAGACGCAATGTCAACAGACCCAAATTCTGCGCGACAGCAACCTAGTCACGTGTGAGATTGGCGAACGCGAGGATGTATGTGACAACAAACATGCTTGTAAAAACCAGGATCTGCGTATACTTCTTGCCACATCTGCGAGTCATAGATAGAGTGGTAGTGGTATGGCGCGTCCGTCGGAGTATTGCCGAAGCCCTGGTCGGAGCTGGCAACCTACAATAACATAATGAGTTGAGGGTCCGGCAGGAGTATAAGGTGAGAGACGAACGCCAAGTCTTTGCAAGAAAACTGTGTAATCACTTCCTGATCCCAGTGGGCCAATTCGTGGTTCATTTGAGGTCTTTGTGTCCCACATGCGAGCAAATTCGGCATCCACGGGGCCTTCGTAAGGACCAACGTCAAAGTGGGCATCCCACAGAGTCTTTTGTGCATCAGTAGGGTGAGGGACGTCTTGGGCAGAACGCTGGATAAGGTGAACAAGAGAAGGGGAAGCAGAAGTATGCCAGCGGGAACCAGAAACCGATACGTCTGTCGTCAACTTTAAGCAGATAGCACATACATAATACAGACGAACAACATACCGACATTGACGTAGGAGACTACATGCTCTTGGATCCAGTCGGCGAAGTCCTCGCCCCACTCAGTGCTTCCAACGAGACCGTACTGTGCCAGCTATGGATAAGGAGAGCTGCCGACAATGACTGATCGCACTGACCTCCTCAGCATCCCAACTGGCAATGACAATAGTACGCAATGGTTTCCATCCACGCTTGTAAAGAGCCCCAAGTCCTCGAACGACTTCGTGGAGAGAGACAGTACCAGATGTGGGATCTGCTGCGCCCATAACCCAAGCTACATCGAGATATGAGGTACATACTACACAAGAAGATCGCACAACTGACCATCACGATGGCACCCAAGGAGGACGACTTCGTCTTTGATGTGGCCAGGAATTGCAGCCATAGTGTTCCAGATAGGCGTGACCTTAGCGTCCACTGCACGACCATGCTCAGCGACGATCCAACTGGTGAATGCAATTATTTACCATCATTAACCATCCTGACTTTTCTGCTTCCAACTCTCCCGTTTAACTTGGTACCCTCAGGGACACCCCCGAGCTCCTCCTCAAAAAGAAGTTTGGCGTTGGCCCAGGAAAGTGGTAAGCTTGGGATATTTGGAACGTTAGTTGGCTCAACGCGAGTTGCATTCTCATATGCAGGGTAGCCTGGCGTAGTGGGGTCACCTGCATAGATCGAGAGGTACATAACTGAGCCACGTTGGATGGATGTAGGATTTCTAGCAGGACCAGCGGGGTACGGCTCATATCCGTTCTCCACGGTGACACTTCCATCGTCTCGAGGGTCAGAGTAAATCAGGACACCAACTGCCCCACGCTCTGCTGCGCCTTGCACCTTGTCGTTTGACATCAGTAATCCGGTGTGTCATTGGATGCCACACGGCTCACCTTAAGACCACGGAAATTAGCACCGTAGCGAGCCAAGATGACCTTGCCTGTGAGGTTAACTCCAGCGTCAACGAGCTTGTTATAGTCATCATAGGTCCCGTAGTTGGCGTAAACCAGTTGACCGATAGCCTCTCCAGCAGCGCTGAAACCGTGGAAGGGTGGAACGGAATTCCTGTACTCGGCAGCGGTGTCGTCACGAGGGTCACCATCCTCAAGCAGGTCGGCTTTCCAGATGGGCTGGTCACTCTCACCGAGCAGTTCCACAACCATGCCATCTGCATTTCCTGTGTTCATGACTGGGTAATAGATATCAACCCATGCGGCTGGTTTGCTAAGCTTAGAGGATGTGCTGAGAGTTGCCTCGCGGGACTCAGGGGAACCTGCCGGGTAGATGGGCTCGGTAGCAGGCGCAGGGATACCAAACTCGGACTGGAAGAGAGCAAGGATCTCCTTTGCGTCCTGGAAGTCTTCCACTGCGCCAGCCAAATGTGGGTGTGTGGCGTAATCACGCGAGGCTGCGAGCGCAGACTGCGTGGATGGAACGGCACTACAGGTCACAATGAACTAAGACCCGGATGTATAGTGCACACCATGAAGTTCGTACTCACAGATAGCCCTCCTCGATACGCTTTATGTAACTGTCATAGGATTCAGAGTACTTCTTGTCTTTCTTCAAACCAACGAAGCAGGAGATAGAGTGAACCTTGTAGAATAGGAAAGAGATAAGGGCGAAGCTTCCAAGAACCAGGAACTTGCGGGAGACAGGCCCCCTTGAATGTTTCCGGGCTTGAACTAGACCTGGAGGATGCGGAAGCAGCTCCTCAGAAGGCTGATACAAACCTGCCTTCTCACTCTTCTCTGTATTCATCCTGGAGATGAATGAAAGGACGTGAGAGATTCAGAATCTTTGTGTGTATGACACATATGCATAAATGATATATGCGGGTCACGCCGATTCACATAAGTGTTTGATCATAACGCATCATGAGGCGGCCTGTCAGACGTCTCGGGGGTATCATGGTAGCCTGACTAATACCGATTAGTAAGTTTTAAAACAGGAGACTTTCAGGTTAAAGTTCAGTTGGATCGCATGCTTGATTGTAAGCAGGGACCAGTGACTATCACCAACACCCTTAGGAAGCTAGATCAAGTTCTGGCAAAGTTCCAGAAGGAAAGAACCGTTAAATATTATTAGTAGTAGACTATACCATACGGTGGTAGAATAGATAAGACCTTTCACGCAGTATATATGACATTAGGTTCATCTTCAATGAGTTGGCAGGCAAACTTTCAGCAAGCCTTGATAGAGGTTTTCACGCAGATAAATGGACTTGAAGCTGTTGAGATTCGAATATTCCACAAGTCGTGCTGTTTTATCAGTCCGATGCAACTAGCAATCGATCGTCACTTCATCACGTACCAATATCTGATCATGAGTCATACAACGCGGAGGTATTTTTTTCTCCACCATGTTTGATTGCGAAGAGCTGAGTTTTTTTATTTGTCTTTGCATCCCAGATCTTGTTATATTCTCGTTGTATCCGCCTGTCGCAAACTTTGTTGAACCGGGCGACTACATTGCTGCGAACACAGTCACCTCAGGCTGGCTGCTCATTTGAATTTTTCAATGGTTGAAGTCTGCAGGGGCAAAAGTTAACATTGACAACGCAAAACGGAGGTAAATACTGACTCATAGCACACGTGATCAACGCGACCACAGTAGAATTGCATCAAAATCCGATAAAAATTATATAATCAAGGAGGAACGACTGTCTTCCTTGTATATGTCTGACTAGGTCTAAGGGAGACTAAATAGAACGGGACAGACTGTCGTAGGAATGTTCACAATCTCTTTGGGACTAGGCACTCGTAAAACAAAGCTGCAGACGTGGACAACGGAGAAGGCTATTTACAGCATAGTTCTGACGCCAACTCGAGTCCAAGGAGGTCATGTCAAAATTAACTGAAAAGTGATCTTGCTAAATGGACGTGATTGATGCACTAGCAGGAGCGAAAGACTATACCGAATATGAATAAATACCTGTCCTCGTGCTGTGTCTTCATCGACGATCATTAGTATGCTGAGCAGATGCACAGCAGACAAAAAGCACGAGATGAGCCAACACCGAGAGGATTCGTGACTTCACTGTCGGTGCACCTTGTTTGGTAGTATTAGGATCAGGAGCGGGGAGTGTTGTGGACGTTGAGGCAGGTTGAGTCTGTGATGTCAATGCTTGAGCTAGGCGACGAGGTTGTTGCTGTAGTGCCTTATCTTGTTCTGGACCCCGAGCAACATACAACGCCTTTGTAGAGATCATTGGACTTTGGAAATAGTATCATCTAAAGAAAGTCATACCTGTTTGTCCCGTATTGCAGCTACTTTGACAGTAGGAGGACTACGACGAGGGAAGATGGTTCGCTTTTGCCGTTGATGGAGTTCGGTTGCTTCACCATCAATGTTAGAGCTGCGAAAGGGGGACGAGAGGCGACTAAGGAGTGCACGTGAACTCCATGAGAATGGTGAAACAATGTGGCGTCCAGAGGAACGAGTATGGGTCCCACGCGCCGCGGAGGACTGAGAATATGGAGGTGAGAATAATTCATCGAAATTCAGATAGACGCACACGAACGCTGTCATGGGCATCATCAAAAAAGCCTCGCGGTAGTCTATGGGCAATGTTGGGGTGGGCTGGACGTTGCGTAGCATTGGTCTAAAATATTGAAATTATACTGATAGAAAAGGTAGAGAAACAAACCATATACATCCATTAGGAACTTTCCAGCTACGCCCTGGGGGACATTAGCGTCATTTTGACGGAGATGCACGATACGCTACATGCCTTCTTTTTGAGGATCATCTACAGCAGATATTGTGAGCAAGATCAAGTGGGTGATCGGTGTCTGTGTACACTTACAGACAAGATGTCTTCAAGACCAGCCTCACGCAGAATAGCGTGAATGTCCCAGACATATGCATTTTGGTCATAACAACCGGTGACCAGCAACTTTCCATCAGCGGAAAGAGATGCACTTGACGCAACATCTTCATGCTCGAGGATTGGTCCGACAGGGAGGTTCGTGTCAAGATTCCAGAGACGCACTGTTTTATCGCAGGATGTACTTGCGAGGAGGCGCTCGTTCGGAAACAAGAAGAGGGCGTTGATAATGTCTTTGTGACCTTCCAGAAGGGCAATCTGTTGCCAAGTGGCGGTGTCGAATATCTTGATCGAGCCATGGTGTAGCCCGGAGATAAGTTTCTTTTCATCCGACGTCCAGATCAAGCTGAAAACTTGATCTTGCTCCTCTTCGCATTCATGTGTGAAGATCACCTCGCCTGTTTTTGCATTCCAGATTCTGATTGCAATATCGCCGTATCCACCCGTTGCAAATTTTGTTGAGTCGGGTGAGTAGATCACTACCGTGACAGACTCGTGCCCGGTCTCCATTGGACCTAGAACGGTTTTCCTGGTCTCGACATCCCAAACTCTTGCTATGCCGCCGGCGGATCCGACTGCCACTCGCTCGCCATCTGGACTCCAGCACACCGACCGCACATGCTCGTGGTGTCCTGTCCATTTGATGACAACCTTTCCTGGCGTCTCGACATCCCACAATCTCACTGTCCCATCATAACTTCCGCTTGCAACAGTGTCACCGCTTGGAGACAATGCTACAGCCCACATCGATGATCCCACTTCATATATCTCATCCTCCTCATATTCATATTCCCAATCAACCTCCTCATCCTCTTCGTCTCGCCAGTCGTCTCCTATCTGTGTGCCGTTCTGAAGGTCCCATAATCTGAGCGAGCCGTCCCTTGAACAAGTGATGATCCGCCGTCCATCGCGCAAGTGTGCAACACCTTCTATCAAGCTGGTATGGCCTCGCATCGTCTGGCAAGGCGTGACCGCCCGTGTACGTTGTTTCTTACTGATCGGCATAGACATGTTGGTGCTTGGGGTCTCAGCCAGCAGATTGTGAACTATGTATTAGCCCGCAGGAAGTTTTGAATTGAGACGGTTTATCCGGCAAGGCAAAGATCCCTTGTCAGTGACGAGCTATCATCTTCCTTCAACTCTTGTCAGCAGGAGCACGATGCACTCACTGACGAGAAAGACTGCTTATATGATTTCGGTCCTGACACACGGAAAGGCTTCAAGGACTATGTGTGCAGGAGCTGCTGCAGTGTTCTTTAAGAAGTGTTTGTGAGTCGCGTGGTCAGTTCACCTAGCAGACGAGGACGAGCCAAAAGTATCACTCACAAGAGGCTCCCTTCAGGCGAACTCGGCGCTTTCAATGACCACTCAAAGGCACAGGCTGGGACAGTGGGTTATCTGGTTTGGAGTTGGGGAATTAATGCACTATTTTATCATATCGTGGTGTATTACATGCGTTAACGCTATGATACCTTGTATTCATTTGACAGGTTATGTGCTGTGTGGATAAAATGCTCAGCAGGCGCTATGTACAATGTATCATTCCCAGGACCGACTTGATTGACAGGGCACTGCCGTGTATCTATTTTCAAACCGATGCGTTTCTTGGCACGTTTGCAGGGCAGTGCGATATCCTTCTTGTCCATCACTTGATAGTCAATTTCGCTGTGAGTACTTGACAGTCTTCCCAAAATCCCAATCCGCCATGCACATATCTACAGCATATAAATAGGATACTCTGTCGGCATGGCTGCAACGGGTGCTAGTGTCATAATGTCCTCACATTCCAGTAGCACCCATCATATCTGCAACGTTGATGATATTATCATGGAACAGGACAGCACCATCGCCGTTGCAGTCTCGCCTTTGAGCTTAAGGGTTGTATCTGCTGAGGATGGTATGTATAAAATAGATTGGATGTCACACCGACTTGGCGCCAAATATTTCGTCATTACACTCAATGCCATTACACCGCATTATTGGCGCTTGTTGCAAAGACGAACTTACAGTGTACAAGAATTTTTGTGGTCTGATCAATTCACACGGTACTTTGTTTCGTGAGTTTGACAATCGCTAGATCTCGAAGTGTTGATGTCGGAGACAACTATGAAACTAGCACAAATATCAAACACTCCTTTGAATGAACGACAGACATGGAAATAGTCAGAGGATGAGAAGCGATCTCTCAAACCGGACGGGTACTGGGGTATTGACGTACTAGCGAAAGAAATTTACAACATAAACAACATATTAATAGAAAGAACAAGATATAAACATAAACTACTCATCCATATACCGTGTCTTTATTGGCAACCATCAACGGGTTCAGTAGACACACAACAGACAGAAAACAAGAAACGAGTCCACCATGTTGGCTTCCTGATGACCAGAGCGGTTTCCGGGCGTGTGCCTGCTGCACCTAACGTGATAGTACAACCAGCAGGAGAGGATTTCGAGGTGGCGGCAGACCGAGAGTGTGATGGCAACGCCGGGGTTTGACTTTGAGATTGGCCTTGCTGCCGTGTTCGTTTCGTCGTGTCCCAATGTAGTTCCAGCTGCGGAGCAACAAAAAATGCCTTCAGAGATAATTCGACTTCGGTTTTCGCAAATACAAAAAGTACATACCTGTTTGTCTCTGACTACAGCAACTTCATTACCACTAGGATCACAACGAGGGGTGGTAGGTGGTTTGGGGTGATGCTGGATGTTGATTTTGTCTGGCTGAGAGTGACTGAAGGGCAACGAAATGCGATCAAGGAGTGCACGTGGACTCCCCGAAGGTGTGAGAGCACGGTGAACAGGAGGTGAGCATAAGTGTCGCGTGTCACAGACGACTGAGAAACGGAAGTGAGAATGAGAGCCGATAGGTCGAAATGCTGATATGCGCACATGAACATCATCTCTCGTATCATCAAAAAAACTCCGCGGTGGTTGAAGGGTGTCCTTGAGCTGGTCTGGACGTTGCCGAGCATCGGACTAGATTTTGAACTTGCATTAATATCTACCAGAAAGGTTGAAAACGTATCACGTACATCTATTAACGACTTTCCGACTGCGACCTGCAGGCAGGATATTAGCGCGGTCTTTACCAAAGAGTAATGGGATGCTATAAACCTTCTTTTCATGTCTATCTCGCAATTCCTAAGGGGGGAGATCATCAGGAAGATAAAGTAGGTGATTGTTTCCACTCACATCGGGATGGGACAAGAGTTCTTGAAGGCCCACTTCTTTGAGAATTGCATAGGTATCCCACACGTACGCACTTTTGTCCCAGCAACCAGTGACTAGCAACTTTCCATCAGCGGAAAAGGCTGCGCATCCTACACGGTTATCGTGTAGGAGGGGTTGACCGACTGGGAGGTTGGTGCTGAGATCCCACAGACGCGCTGTTTCATCGCACGATACACTTGCAAGTAGGCAATCGTTCCGAGATACGGAGATGGCGTAGACAACGCGATTGTGGCCTTGGAGAGTTGCGATTTGCTGCCATGTGGCGGTTTCGAAGATCCTAATCGAACCATTGAATGATCCGGAGATAAGCTTCTTTTCATCTGATGTCCAGGCAAAGCTGTAAACTGCTAGTGGATCATGATCGAGTGTGACGAGCAGCTCGCCTGTCTTGGCTTCCCAGATGTTGATTGTGCTCTGCTCGAATCCCCCCGAAGACGTCACAATTTTGGTCGAGTCAGGTGAGTATATTATAGCCCACACCCACTGTTGCCCAGTCTTGATTGGGCCAAGGACCGTTTCTGATTCGCCGCTCTCAAGGGCCCACACTGCTGCCGTCCCGTCCTCATATCCACTCGCCACTCGCCCACCATCTGGACTCCAGCACATTGCCCGCACGGATCGACTATGTCCTATCCATTTAGCGGTGACCTTCCCCGTTTCGACATCCCACAACCTCACTTTCCCATCAAGGTATCCGCTCCCAACAGTAGTACCATTCGGAGATAATGCTATGGCGGTCACTGCAGTCTCAGCATCCTCCTCATCCTCAGCATCTCGCCAGTCGTGGCCTGTCTGTGTGCCACTCTCCAGGTCCCATAGTCGGAGTGAGCCATCACCAGAACATGTGATGATTCGTTGACCACAACGCAGGTACACGACACCCCGTACGCCGTGGGTATGGCCTCGCATCTTATGGCGGGGAACGACAGTTGACGTTTGTTGCTTCTTACTAATTGCAGAGGGCATGGTCGGCCTCCTGCGTCCCGACTACGAACAGCTTGTTGACAATGTATACGAGAGCAGCTTGCTATGCTTTTAAATTAGAATGAGCAACCTTGCATTAAGGGAAAAGCTTGCTGAGGTCTATCTTCGACTCTTTTCGGCTTAGGACAGCTGCGTGACTGAGTATACGGGAGGTGGCCTTTTTCGAGTTTTCTGCGATGATTTAAATCACTGGTAAGCGAGTGGCCAGCTTTGCTCAGCAGAAGAGCTTAGAGCATCACTCACAAACTGAAGCCAACTCACACGGAATGCACACTCCAATCACCAATGTGAGTGGTTGGCGCTGAGGCGGTATGAGTTGTGGAAGCTTCATAAAGTGTTAAATCTAAGTTTGATTTGAAGGTGTGTTTCATGTCTTACCCTCGTGTCTGATGCACAGAATCCAGATCAAGTGCTGTGTACTTGGATCATCAAGTATGAGATGGCATGATGTACGATGTACAAGCTCGGCTAAGACTTGGTTGCAATTTGTAAACTTACGAGATCCCCACTTCCGCATTTTTCTTTGTCTCTGTTCGCGAGTACGAGTCTGACATGAGGCGTGCTCAATTCTTACGATGTCAAGTTCAAGGTGTGTCAAGTCCCACCGTGCCTTAAGCCAAACAACATAGCCGACCGGTGAGACCCCATTTGGGTTGCCGAAGCCACCGAAGCGAACACACCGTCACACCAATGAATTAAGTTTGAACATAGAAACTTTGCTGTGGTCCACTGACCAGTGATGAGCTATCCAGCACGGAACATAGTATACAACCCTATTAATTCTTCGCATGGCATCTATAATGCTTTACAAGACATCAATGGTGCTCAGCAGAGGACTTATAATAATGCTCCAGGTCATGTTCCACAACAATATAACATGCCCTACATTGGTCACAACCACCAGCACATGGCCACTGCACATGGTGGACAAGCACAAAGCCAGAGGCCAGACTCTCATGCACAACATTTATGGTTTGACCCATGGTAAAACATTTTCTCATCATAATTGCAGCGAGACTCAGAACTCACTTTCATAGCTTGGGTGGTTGGGTACCAAGAAACTCAGGCCACCACCAGCAGCCTCAACAGCCAGCACATCCCCAGCAACAGTATCAAAATCTGCAAACTTTGGTGAGAGCTTATTGAAAGTTTTCTTACTGAGTGTTATGAACTAAGATAGTCGCAACAATAGCTTGCTTGATAAGAGCGATGGCTAGAGCTGAATCAGACCTTACAAATGTAAGGGTCATTAAGACAAAGCAAAGAGAGTGTCTCTGCTTCGAATATTGGTCTTTAGATGATTTAGGATTGGGGGTCCTAAGCGAAAGAGTTCCAGATGACAACTTAGTAGATTAAAGTGCAGATCTACTGAGTACGTGACTAGGTATATATACTAGGCAAGTGCTTTAGGGCAAGCACAGCGAGTCATAGATAAGATGAGACGAGTCAGAGATAAGACAAGTCAGAGATAAGTCATCTAACAACGGCAATAGCAATCGTGATGTAATACAAATGAAAATAGAAAAAGGATGAGTCATCTAACGACGGCAATAGCGATCACGATGTAATACAAAAGATAGAGGAAAATGAATAGGGGTAGGTGTTACTGTAACACTGAGGTCCTAACAAGGTCAAGATCTCTCATAATCAGATAGGTGTTGCTCAACCTACTGAGAAGTAGTCCAAAACAGGACATCACCACAGCAAGACATCATCAGTGAGCAAAGGAAGTGTGACCATGACAGCACTGAGGATACACCATCAGAAACCCAGAATGCTGAGAAGAAGCATCGGATGACAAACAGTACTACTGGCAGCACTGAGGACATGCCACCAGTGCCTCAAAGCACTGAAAAGAAGCCTCGTAAGACAAAGAATGCTTCCTGGAAGGCATCAGTCAAGCAGCTGAAGCAGACAGCAGCCAAGACAAAGGCAACCGAAGATGGCAAGAAGGCACTGGAGGGACTGGAAGAATCAGTCAATTGGACTAATGATGAGACAAGGATATTGCTCAAGGCACTCCTGGGTCCTGATAGTGAGCTCTACATGGAGCTTGGCACAAATGCAAAATATGCCTATAGAAAGGTAAGTTCAAAGTTTGAGAGACATTTGCTTACACTGATGACTCAGAAATACTTGTAGGTATCCCAAATGAAGTTTGATGGCAAATGAAGTCTAGAATCAGTCAGAAGCAGATATGAGTGGCTACAGAAGATATTCACATACATATTAGCATTCGAGTCGATGACTGGCAATGGCGAGGGTGATCCTGACGTTGAGGAGCTTGATGAACAGATCAAGAATGCAAGAGTAGCAGGGAGGGATGTAGGAAACTTATCTGGGACCATGCTGAAATGGTGGTATACTGAGGGCTGGTATGAGCTGTTCAACAACTAGTGAGTATGAAAAATTAGTACTGTTGTACAATATATCTCACCTATAATCAAGCCTTGGCGAGCACCCAGGGCTGGTGCGGGAGCATGACTTTCACTTAGGCACCATTTCGGACACAATTGAGATTAGCAGTGATGAAGATGCCAAAGATGGTAACAGTGGCTTTGAGAGTGCTGATGCTGAGGAAAAGCCAGCAAGGAAAAGTACTGCAAAGGGAGGCACAGCATCTACAAAGACGCAAGGAAAATCACTGACCTTGAGAGGTGTTCCTGCACCGTGTCACAAACAGCAGTCATCTTGCACAAGCATGGGAAGCGAGCTTGCAGAATATCTTGCATCAAATGCCAAGTATATGCAGCATATGATGAAAAGTGATAATGATCGCTTGAAAATTCAGCAAAAACATGAAAATTGACAGGACAAGAAGCAAGAAGCAGATGTGAGAGTGGCACAGGTTGAAGCTAGGGTTAGGAATGCAAGGGAAGTCCTGGCAGACGAGATGATGCCAGATAACATGAAAGAGGTAGCTCGAAAGGTACTAATGGACTACTTTACTGACAAGAATTAGTGACAGTTAATCTAGAGGAAATAGATCATTCAATATCAGTAAATGGCAGTGGCGCCCAGCTTCTCAAAGCCACTCATCAGTCTCGTAAGCAGGCAGCTCTACCCAACCATCTGGAATTGCACCATCAAAGTGCAGGACATCTGTATCATGAGGAGCACCCTCCTCTGAGTCATCCTGGTCTGGATCAGAAGGATCAAAGAATGGTATCTGCTCCAGGCAGTCTCCCAAATCGATACACAAGTTCTGGAGGGTGAAGAGTGCCTGCATCAGACAGTAAGTGTCCTGCATGCTCTGCTCTGGCAGGTAGATCCTTTAGCGATGGGAAGCAACCCTTAAGGGCACCAAATGTATGCTCAACAGTGATTCGAATTGATGACAGACGCTGGTTGAACTTGCGGTGACTGAGACTTTTCCGGTAGTGGTTGATCCCTGATCTCAGGTTCTGTGAAGGGCCATAACACATACGGAGATGATGGATAACCTATCTAATAGTCAGGATATTGAAAATGCAGGACATGACAACACATACCTTTATCAGCCAAGACTTGGCCATTGTTTAGAAAATAGTCTTGGTGGTGACACCACACATGCGATTTCTTCCACATGGTAACATTGGACACAGAGCCAGGCCAGCCAAGGTCCACAGAGATGAACCGCATCTTGTGGTCAATGATGGCTTGAACATTGATCTACAAAGGTTGAGTTAGGCTTGGCACATGTGGATTTGATAACTTACTGCAGGAAATTTTTTTCAACAGATGAAAGTGAAGCCATTCTCTTCAGGCATCTGCATCAGCCAGATGAGTGTCCCATCCAACATCCCAACACAATCCAGAAATCCATATGCATCCATGATATACTTAGATGTTTCTTGGTGGCGCTCATCATCTCCCCATGAAACGACATGGATACCCAACTCCCGCAATGCCCACACTACTCGCTGGCAGTACAGGAACACTGTTCCAAATCTGATTGCAAGTTTGTGCGCAGCTTGGAGTGGATTCGCACCTTGTGTGCCATACCATAGGAGAAAGCATGCCAGTTGATATTGACATGTGCGCTGTGGTCTCTTGCCAGTCAATCAGAAGATGGGGTTCTGTTTGAGCAGATGGACAAGACAGTCAAAGGTGGGCCGTCCAACCCTGAAAGATGTTGGCGAAGATAATGCTGATGATTGAATAGAAAACATACCTGTATTTGTGTCGAAAATCTCGGTCTGGCCAGCTTAGAGAAATCTCAAAGAATTTGAAACATTTTCTCCATTGATTGTATGGGCCACGCGAGACACCGGACAGCATACTTGCGAATACTTGAAGTACTGTGCTTGTTCTTGTGAGAGATGTAGCAGTATGATGACTGTGGTCGTCATTGTCGTTGTCAGGAGAAATGAAGTGTTCAAGTTCAAGACAAGCACACTGTGAGATACCTAACATAGACGATGAGGCAGAAAGGACAGTTAAGAGGTCATGGAATTCTCATTGTCACTGCATAAGTGTGCTGTGGTGATGGTTGTTGATAAGGTGGAGTAAGCTTGGCTTCGGCAACCCAAATGGGGTCTCGCTGGTCAGCTATGTTGTTTGGCTTAAGGCACTGGTGGGACTTGACACACCTTGAACTTGACATCGTAAGAATTGAGCATGCCTATGGCTGGTCTAGGTGAGGGTCTGCGCAGACACCAGGTCTGTGTCTGGGACCAAGTCTGGGTGCACACTCAGCACGGGTGGCGGAGTTTGAAGTCACCAGTGGCTGACAGTGCTTGACATCCTGCCACTTACCACCACCATTTGTTACTCTGTTACGTAACAAGGCACGAGCAGAGAACTAGAGTTAGGTCTTTGCACAAGCAGTTGGAAGCAGTATGAACCTTTTGCCTTCATACTGCGACAACACCTCCTCTTGTTTCAGTCAGTCCAAAATGATGTTGTCTTCCCTCCTTCTTTTCCTTCCTCTTCTCCTCTTTCAATGATCAGACATCCTCATCCTAATTCTCTTTAAAGCAAAGCTAAGCTCCCAAACAAGAAACTACATACCTGAATTCTTCTGATACATCATGGAATGAATTTTAACTGACCCAGCATTAGAAGCACAGCCTAATTTCGAGTTGGCCACATATATTGGTTGACTCAATGCCCTTGTGGTGGGGGGCATAAGCAGAGAAGACACGCTTGCCAACATGGCAAATGGGTGGAGGTTTGAGCACCAAAAGTACATTGACCTTTGGCAGGAACAAACAGAAGAAGATGCCCACATTGCATGGGAGTGCTTAGAGCATGAGAATGCTGAGAAGGAAGCTGAAGAGCAGGAAGAGCAATGCGAAGCAGAGAAGAAGAAGCCCAAGATCAATGACTTTGACACAGCCATGATCATGGCAGATGTCATCATCCCCCGTCCATCACAATATGCCATCCAGAAGATCAAAAACATGGAGTACATAGAACTTTGGTACTTTAGTCCTGATGGCTGCCAGGAAGCTTCCACCATGTCTAGATCCATGTCAGATTCAGATGACACTTTTGGCTTTGCAAAAGTCAATGGCATGGTCACCTTGAAAATGCTAGCATTGTTCAAGGCCTCCCACAAAGCCCTACAGGACCATGACCTATTGTGGCAACAGTTCAACTTGGCAAAGACCAGCTTCCTAGTCCACATAGAAAAGAGCGGGTGGCCAGAGAAGCATCAACAATTGCTCACTCTTTTCTTCACACTCATCACCAACCATGAGCACAGAATGTGCCCATGGGGGGAGAAGACCCTGTTATGCTATGCAGGGACTGTTCACATGAATGGCATAACTGGCTCAACCAGGATCAAGGTTTCAACATTGGCATCTTCAATAACATGTTATATAACGCCTTATTGGATGACATATGGGAGGCAGAATGTGATGAGGGCTTGAAACTGGTATGCATCACCCAATCATCATCAAACGGTTCAAACACTGACGCAATGTTTCTATTTCTTTCATTGCACATCCCACGCTATGACATGTACCATCTACCTGCTTCCCTGAACTGCTACCATTTTTGCTTCTTGACTCTTGAAACCCAATTGTCACCCTATGCTACATGCCAACTACCTTGCTTCACTACCCTTTGCTTCTTCCTGCTACCATTTACTTCACTACCCCACAACTTTGCTTCACTACCCCACAACTTTGCTTCACTAACCTTTGCTTTGCTCTGCTACCCTATGCTTCCCTATGCCATGATCATGCTACCCACATCCTAATACTCAAATGAACACTACACTTATGTTCACCTGCTTGTACGCTTACTTGAAACATGTAATCTTTGCTTCCCCAATAATGCTATTGCCATCCCGAACTGGATTGGCTCATTTGCTCACACCACACAGCTACAAAATGTGATCCCAGCAACCAACCTCATGCCTTGACCCTGAGGTTGGGAAGGCAACACCTACTGAGGAAGGCAAACAGATCCACCTTCCCCAGCTAAGGACAACCACTTCCACCCCTATCGTGCAAGTGACCAAGGTGGGAAGAAACCTTACAAAAATCAACAGTCTTTTCAAGGGGGCGCAGGTCAATCTGGTTCTTCGGCCTGCACCCTCTGCCTTGGCCACTTCCATCACCCCATTCACAGATGCACTTCCAAGTTCCTCTGGGACAAAAAGACCAAGACCTGATGCCATCAAAACGCAGAGGGTCACCTGGTCAATCCAGAAGGTCTTGAGCTCTGCTATGACTGGCAAAGACCGAAAGGATGTTCCAACACAGCCTGATCCCATGTTCATAAGTGTTCTGGATGCAGAGCAAAGGATCACGGAGCTCAAGGGTGTCCTCAAGGCAAGAGCATGTAAGGCACTCACTCTGTATCAACCCAAAGCATGGCTACTTTTTCTTAACTCTTCGCATCTCATTGACAAATATGCACATATTCCTAACAGTCTATGTATCAGTTTCATGGGAAGTGTCCCAAAATATCTCACACTTACACCCCATCTAACAGTCCTTCATTATGCACACACCACAATGCCTTTTCTACCATACTGGATTGTGAATACTCTACCAGGCACTATATCAGCCCATTATCTAAGTCAGACACAGAAAAACTCATCAGTCCTTTCCAGACAGCCCCACTTTCCATGGTTCCCAAACCAGGAAAACCAGGCAAGTTTTGGCTCGTACAAAACCTATCATTTCCCTTATATCCATCTGCTACCATATCTGCCATTAATTCTTCCATCAATTCTAACCTCTACCCCTGTACCTGGGGCACAGCATCAACCATCTGCCTCCTCATATGGTCCCTCCCTCCAGGCTCACAAGCAGTGGTTCGTGATGTGGCAGAAGCCTATCGCTCTATCCCTCTCCACCCATCACAATGGCCAGGCCTGGTTGTTAGGATGGGAGACAACGAGTTCGCCATTGACTCGAGTTTTTGCTTTGGATTCTCAGCCTCAGCTGGGAGCTATAGGGAAGTCGCAGATGCAGGAGCTGACATCTTCAGATCACAAGGCATCGGCCCACTATTGAAATGGGTGGACGACCATTTGTCCATCTGCATCCTCCAGGAGCACCTTGAAGTTTATAATGAACTTCGCAGGGCTCACTCAGCCATCATCGCTAGGAATGGAGGACTGCTCATCGACAGAGGATGCAAATGGTACCAGGGATTGGCCATGCCCAACAACAGCATTGAGGAATTTGATGAGGACCTATCATTCCCCATCCTCAACCTATCAACATCATCCCCACATTCACCAGAAGACATGTTATTCTCTTATTGTTTCGACAACATCAACCGCCTATCCAAAATATTGGGCATACCATGGGAGCTGGTGAAAGACATCTTCTTCTCATCATGCACTCCTTTCATCAGATTTCTGTGGGACATTGCAATGCATTCTGTCTTGATCCTGCAGAAGAAAAAAGAGAAATACCTGGCCGCCATCAGAGACTGGGAAGCCCAGTCCTCACACACCCTTCAAGAAGTGCAAGAGCTATATGGAAAGCTCTTGCATGCATCCTTGGTTCTTCCTGCAGGGCGGGCCTACCTCATTTCCCTCAAATCCATGCTATCCATCTTCCATGATCATCCTCACATGCCTTGTTCCCCCCCCAAGCATACAGGGGAAGACCTGCACTGGTGGAAGGCCAGCCTCAGACAGCCCATCATCACTCAACCCATCCCAGGGCCCGTCGAAGTCACTGACCCCTCAGCTTACTCAGATGCTAGCTCAGGTACTGGCATTGCGATTTGGATCAATGGCAGGTGGAGAGCATGGCAACTACTCCTGGGATGGAAGGACGAGAACTGAGACATTGACTGGGCCAAGGCAGTCAGGATGGAGTTCCTCATTATCATGCTCCTCAGTCAAAGCCCAGAGGGCAAGTGCATCAAAGTTTTCAGCAACAATCGGGGAGTCATCAAGGGCTGGTGGAAAGGCAGGAGCCGAAACAGGGCCACCAACAGTGTCTTCAAATGCATCCATGAGCTCACTGCATCTTCAAAGTGCACTTTCCTCACTCGTTTCATGCCCAGTGCCCATAACCCAATGGACAGCCCATCCAGGGGAATCTACCTGCCCTTGAGCTTGCTACTCCCTCTGATATGTATCCCCCAAGCCCTCCAACCCTTCATCACAAACTTCAACAATCCCACAATCCCTCCTGGACATCATACGCCCCATGAGGGCATCAAAGCGCAGTCGCTCGGCCATATCTGCTCCTGCTCCCGAGAATCACACAACAAGCTCAATGATGAGCTTTGTCGCCAAGGAGAAAAGATCTTCGAAATGGCCCAAGCTTATCACAGCTTATCCTGATAATCTCACCCCTTGAATGTCCTCCCTGCATCCCCACTGCACTGCCAAAGACAGAATCCATCTATGGCTACCTGCAGGAGATCAAACAGCACCGGCACATCTTCCTTATGCCAACACACAATGCATCCAAGATGTTATGGTGCACACATGGGCCAGCAGCACCAGAGAAGCCTACGGCAGTGATATTCTTGCCTTCCATGTCTATTGCAACTTGAAAGCCATTGAAGATGCCCAGCATGCTCCCACATCTTCGGAACTCATTTCAGCCTTCATATCAGACCTGGCCGGCTCATATTCCAGCAAGACAATATCAGGTTACATCCATGGCATCTGCGCTTGGCACATCCTGCATGGAAAATCATGGTCACTGATAGATGATCAAATAGATGCCATGTTAAAAGCTGCAAAAAACCTCATGCCACCATCATCGAAATGGAAGAAGTGCCCACCATACACGGTGGCATTCATCACCAGTGTCTTGCAAAAACTGGACCCCAACATTCCTCTGGACGCTGTGGTAGGAAGCTGTCTCACAACCACTTTCTATTCCATTGCCTGAGCTGGGGAATTCACAGTCCAAAGCCTAACAACCTTCGATCCTTCCATGCACGTCAAGCATTCGGACATTCACAGGGAAACAGACCACAATGGTCTCACCACCACAGTCTTCCATCTACTGCAAACAAAAGCATCTCAAACTGGGGAGGACGTATTCTGGGCAAGGCAGAATGGCCCTACTGATCCAGAGGCGGCCTTAGCCAATCATTTTCGCATCAACAACCCCCTCCCCAGCATCACTTTATTTTCGTATAAATTCAGCAATGTCCATTGTCCCTTGACAAAGTCAAAATTTATCACAAGGTTGGCACAGGCAGCCAAGAGCACCAGTCTAGACCCCCTGCAGGGCCACGCCATAAGAATCGGCACAATGTTAGAGTACCTCCTGCGCAATGTGCCATTCGACATCATCAAAACGATGGGAAGATGGGCTAGTGATGCCTTCCAAAGTTACCTAAGAGAGCATGCTCAAATTCTCACACCATACCTGCAAGCAACCCCTGCAATTCAAGATGAATTTCTGTGCTACACAATGCCCTGCATTTGATGAAACAAACATTACTGGTGAGTATTCATCCTCCTCCTAGTGGTGTGGGTGTTCTTGGCTCACTCGATGTGTTGTTGGACTCCTACAATTATGGGAATCGCAGCTCACCTTTCCTGCAGAATATGCAGCTCAGGACTGGGAGGCGCTGCGTGCCTTCGCCCAAACTGCTCAGAATCATATCTGCCTCGGTCGTAGACACAACACTCTTGTAGAACAATAGTAGTGACAATGTCATCTCGCATTTTTCCTGTCTCTAGGAGCATAAGACTGCGACCTAGCAACTCGCAAAGACTGCTCCCCATCACTGTCACACGTCAAGGACAGACCATGGATGTCAAATCTACATTTGCCGCCATGCAGTGGTACACTGAGCTGCCCAGGTTGACCGTATCTTGTACATTCACGTTCGAACCTGAGGTCTTCAACCTTCAACATGTTTATGGTATGACTTGCAGTTGAAGGTGCTCCCATTTGCCCAGCCATTAGGCCTGTCTTTTCCCAATGCTGTGTTTTGAACCCTCCCCGCCCCATAAATTCCACATATTGAAGTGGCATGAACTTGAAGTTCCATGAGCTACAATTGGCCCTTGATCTGGCTAGTGGTACTCATGCAGCATCTCGGATATGGTTATGATCCTGAGTCATTACCCCACAGCATGATTATATGAACCATGTCTTGTTTCTTACATTGAGCACTGAAGCAGCCATTCCAACAAATCACCATTAAATATGTTCACATGGTCAAGCTTGTGTATGTTCTCCTTTTCTCCCAATGCTCTGTTGCCGTGATGCACGTAACTTCATCCAACTCCCAAGGTCTGCATGTGGATACAACTAATAATTTCTCTCAGTCATTCATCTCAACCCTCAGCTTCATCAACTCTCGATCCAGGTGGGTTTGGTTTTTCTCATTTGTTAACTCCCTTTCAGATCCACCCTGATACAAATCCTAGACCATACAAGTATCAGTCCAATAATTCAAGGTCATCACATCCTACTACTTGGGTGTTCTTTCACAACAGGTGAGACTATGTGATCCCCTGCATTCAATTATTGACTGAGTATCATTGTGGATGTTAAAGAAGCTATCTCAAGGTTAAGATCTGAGTATTGACGTTCATGGCTGTGCCTAGTATGTAACTTACACAGGTTCTCATGTGACATATGTAGTAATTGACTTATGAATGTTGCTTGCCTGCTCGAGCTCATCACAAGGAGTTGTGCAAAACTTTGGGTATTTTCACATGCTTGTTTTTTTTGCCTACATATCTGTCATGAACTCTGATGCACGCTGTAGAGACTCACTCCTCTATATCGCCACTATAGGATGATATACCACCCCTTCCCACTGATACTCAGTTCTGAGTCTCTGGATAAGCCACCTGCACTATCGCAAACTGACATGCGATCGCCACATGCACACGAACGCGCTTGCACGTCCTGCACACCCACTCTAGGTCCCCCACTACAGTCCATCCACCCATCCATGTCCTTGCTAAAGTCCACTGGTGCATTTTTATTATACTCTTATCACTCTGATGTACCTTCTGGGCCAATTATAGTGCTGTAAACACGCAGGCATGCGTTTAAAACACTATTACATACAGATATCACTACCTACTTGCTTCACCTCTATGCTAAAAGCATCGCCTAACGCCCAATATAGGGAAGGGAGGGGGAGTTTTTTAGAGTACCGGATCCTAGCACCTCCCACCTCTGTGTAGTAGCAGTAGTTTGCACATTTGAGCTAGTTTGAAAGCACTAAAGAATTGGAACTCGCACACTACCTTCATAGGTGCGATCACCTCTAGTCAGCTCAATTCTCTCTCCACTGGATTTCATTTTCAGATAGCTCTAGCACCTACACTTTAGACCCCCATCGTGCATGCTGTGTTTCCATGCACGCGCTCTCGCTTTCTATCGCATCACCGCGCTTTCATGCGCATCTTCTTCACGCTTCTTCCAGTATTCGCACTTCGCACATCCTATAGCGCTCATCCAGTTTCGAAGTCTCCCTCTGTCATTTCGAGGACCTTCTCTCAGTAGCTGTCCTTAGGGTCAAGTTCAGTCTCGCATCCAGGTCTTGCTTTAGTTCCCCCATAGTCCAAAGTCCTCACTTTCAACTGGAGCCCACCGCAAGGGACACTTCTGAGAAAACTGGCAGGGTACTCAGGCCCACAAGTCATCGCAGAACCAGAGAAGAAGCCATAGCCGCCTTCGACAAAGCTGCCACCACCGTCAAACCTGGCCCTCTATTCATACCAGTGTCACACAACTGTGCGCGAAATGTGTCAGAGCCACCACACCCCAACCTAACGCTATTCAACTACACCAGACGCCCAGTATCGCCCATCACGCCCTCACCTAAAGACTCAGCAAAGGAGGAATTGTCTGACGATTTCGACATGATCAATGACCCTAGGAGCCAACTCCCTGGAGCATTTCTCAACACGCCACAGCAGCATATTTCTTCTACCCTCTCTTTGCTTAGCGAGCTAACCTCCCTCAGCGAAAACATGCCTGCCGCATCAACATCCACTCCTGCAAACACACACCCTATCCATGAGGTGCTACCCATCAAACAAGAAGAGTTTGAAACACTCCACACGCCAAGCTCGATCCCTGGTGGCATAATAGTAGGTAACCTACCACACAAGTACGAACCACAACCCTCCAGCACACCAACCCCCATCACCACTGCAAATCAGCAACCAATAATGGCTACATTGTATAAAATGCCCATACATGGGACTAACAAGGCACCAAAATTCAACAGGACTATGGAGAATCTTGTAGATTTCATCAACATCTACAAAGGACATGCCAATGAAGCAGGCCTCTGCGGGCTTGACTGCATCAAAGGTATCATTCGCTACCTACCCCTGAGCAAATGGGAGCTATGGGGCGGGTTACCCGAAGTGAGCCTTAGCGATTACAAGGCATTTATCAAAGAAGTCAAGGTAATGTACCCCAGCTGTGAAGGCCCTAAGTACTACATGCTCAATGACCTTCAGGCAGTTGCGTGCGATCACATGAGTAAGCTGATGCCCTTGGCCAAAGAATTGAGCAATTATCTTCGTGCGTTCAGGAGAATTATGCAGCCACTCGAGAATGAAGATCACATAGGCAAGTCTGAACATGACCGCATATTCTTCCAAGGAATCCTGAATGATGTCCAGACGCAGATCCACATGTGTCTACTGATCATAGTTTTCACCACCTACCAGCACCAGTCTGAGACTGAGAGTTATTAGCATGATTTCCTATCCTCTCTGAGCACTGAGCTTAGTCCAGAAACCCTTTAGGGTTGAATAGCAGCTAGGCATAGCACATTTAGCCCAACATTAGAAGTCTACTTTCCAGTTCTCTTCTTGTTGTGTTTCCCACAATGCCACATCTGACATTGAACTTCAAAGCTTCATGGTTTGACACTGGTCCAAATAATGGAATTTCCTGGTGCCAGTCTATTGGTATCAGCGCACCAACACAAATTATCTATAAAGTAGGATGCAACGGGTGGGAATCATCTCACCAGCTTGCGTGGCTTTTGCATAGATATGCTTAGATGCGCTTAGATGCGCTTAGGAACACTTAGGAACACTAGGCGCTTAGGAGCGCTAGATGCACTTAGGAACGCTTAGGAACGCTTAGGAGCGCTTAGACGCGCTTAGGGATGCTTAGATTCGCTTAAGAACGCTTAGCTCGCTTAAACCTCTTTTTGGGAATCTCGCGTGGCCTGGTCACGGGTTTTCGAGCTCCGACTTAACACTGTTGCCCGTTCGAGTGCAGCATATGTCAATAAATAATTGATGAAAAATTGACATATGCTAGGATGCAGCCAAGGCCAGGAAGCCAAAAAGGAGCGCGAAGCGCTCCGTTTGCTTCCTGTGCCGAAGGCACAACGGGTGTGAAGCTAGTCATACTGTATGGTTGACTTTGCCCCCCCACGTAGCAAAGGCCAATAATAAAATTGTCTCGTGCAAGACAGCATATCGGGTATCTTAGACGGCTTTGATATTGTGCAAATCGCTGGGAGAAATGTGCAGCCTGCACTTTAATGGCAACAGAGCTATATACAACCGCTGGTGAGTCTGTAGTATACAGTAAGTAAAACACTGTCAAACATGGAGTCTTGCGAGTACTAAAGAGGGTAAGTCAAAGTGAAATTTATCAAGTACTCCATCGCCTCCTTCCTGTACGTGTCCTGAATAATGGTGGGTGGAGACCAAGGCCATTCCCCAAACATCAGCATATCCTTCGATTCAACAGCGTATTCCGGCCAGAAAATACCAGTGAGATTCCCATTAGGATCAAGGTGTGTTGCAAAATTGATCAAGTAATCCAATAAACTCCCCTGTCCACCCCACATCTCATCAACGAAGTCGGAGCTGTGAAACTAAGACAAGTTGAGTGACACCTCCAACACGTCTTGATCGAACGTCCACGTACCGCGCCTAGAAGCGGAACTGCCTTGAGTCCTTTGCTGACTGAAAGGGGGGGTTATACTTGTTTGAATGGGTAAAGAACTTCCACGCACGATAGGTCCATATCTTTTGTTTCCCTGACCGCTCATGTAAAAAGAACCGTCTCGGAGCTTGGAAAACGGCATCTCCCTGAAAAGCAGCTATACGCTTGAACTGCGGGGTCAGCTGGTTGAGGGTTTCAGTTCCAAACGGAGATCCTGTCGTCGGGTCTTGAGGATACATGAACAGAATTCCATTGATCTCCTCGTCTGTTGCATTGCGCGCCCAATATGTTTTCAAATATTCATGAAATTGCTCGCTTGTCCTAAAATAAGTAAGGTGAATTAGCGTCACCAACAAGGAAAAAAATGATTTTCAGTACGTGGTGTTAGTGGTGCTGAAGGCGAAGGCTGTTCCCTCGTCATCGCAGTCGCCTGTTTCCTGAGTTAGCCGCATGCCACTCAAAGTAACAAAATCCCCACACCTGTGATAAAAGGTACATTTGCAATTTTCCCCTGTTGGACGAGGCGCTGGAAGTTATCAGTCAAAAATATCCCATCTGCCCTTGGCATCCAAGCCAAAACAAGTGACTGCCGTAATGATATTGATCAATGTCAAAAATATTGATGCTGAAACATGATTAAGAACCTGGTAAGAAGAAATAGACGGTGTTTCATCCACAGCGGTTTGCAGAATTTCCTGAGGTACCGCTCGCAAGCATTCCAATGTATCGATCGCCCCCTTGCACCCTGTTTTATCAACAAGAAAGTCATAATACTGTTGACCATTGGTGATATCGCCCACAGGTGTCGGGGATCCTGATTGCATAAATGCCGCGCGGAAGAGACCGTCATTGTGACCATCATAAGCGAGCATCTGGAGAGCGACAGATATCGCTCCGGCACTTTCGCCCCATCTTTGTGGTGTCGAGGTTTGTTAAAGTCATACATACACCATTAAAAGGACGCTCACATGGTTACCTTTGTTGGATCTCCGCCGAACGAGCTGATATATCTTTTGACCCAGTGAAGTGCAAGTCGCTCTGGTCGAATTATTAGTTCAAAGAAAGTCAAAGGAAATTGGACCTCACGATCTCGGAGGCCTAAGTTTCCAGTCCCAGCCTGCCTGACTTCTTCACTCGCTAGGAATCCCCAAGCTACATTGATGTGAGTGAAGTTCGATGTCTATGGGGTAACCTACCGCTCAACCTGCGACACGTCATTCTCAGAAAAAGCACGTGAAACAGCAAAAGTACCATCACCGATAGTTCATGCTAACATAGATAACTGGTTCGTGCACTTGCAACGACCTGTTGACTGTGATATTACCGAACTCTCTGTATACATGGATTGTAATTCGTCATCTCGATGCGCAAATATGTTTGACAACTCACGATTGACCACTTCCAGTTTCAAAACCGCCACCGAATATATACTGAATTTGCGTCTCAGCCACACCAAAAACAGGATGTTACTAAGACTCACCACGACTACTGGCAGTTTTGATCCAGGGAGCATGACGGCAGGCGTGAATACATTGAGTGTAAGACCTGAGAGCGAACAATTCACATAACTGGCATGAAGCTGAACTTTAAACACTCACAATCTTCGCTTGACTCGGTGATCATTTGGGCTATCCCTCTTTGTATCGATGATTCCTGTTGAGAGCAGGCCGGACCATAGGCTGCTACAGTGTGTAAACCTTCATAGGGAGGCAATGGTTGAGGAACCTGGAAGCGGAGGCTTCCAATACTGCAGATATTGAATTAATGAATATTTGGTTGTAATGGTTATAATTACGGGGGTTTGGCAAAGGGAATGCCCAAGAATTGCGCCGTGTTGCCAATGAACGTGCCGGTGAATATCGCATCATCTAACTTCACGATTGGCCCGAGTGCAAGATGTTGGAAGGCCTGCTGCATCGTGCAACGGACTAAACCGGGCAGCACAAGGAGGGCCAAAAAAGTAGCAGACGCGAGACGGTTCATGATGTGCAGAGGAAGGGACAAAGAAAGAATGGAATATACAAGCCTTTATCAGCATGCTCATCGTGGGTACGTCAGTGTGCATGAAGCATGCTTGATCTGGGAGCAACTCGTTTCCCACAATGTGAGTAGAAACCTCGAGGATTCTGACTTAACACGTGGATAATAAGTTTCTACGTACAATGACTGTGGAGCCCTGATACATTGGCTAGGTTTGGGTGAATCGGGTGATGTCCTGCATCAATATGAGAGCCCGGGGAGAGTCAAACCTGTACTTAACTGGGTTGATATTCGAAGGCTGGTGATTAACAGAATTGGACAAGTCACAAGAGATCTGCATGACCAGCTGCTTTAGGAATCCTGCTGGGATGTACCACATGTACATATTAATCAATAAGGCGACTAGTCCCATTCCGATTCTGCTGAAAAAAGGCTGCACCGACAACATCATCATCTTCGTGCTAGTGGCCAAATGAAATATTTGCGTCAACATTTCGTTGTGCGATGACGATCAGCTCGCAAGGAAGTGATTCCAAGACTCGTACTCAACTTGAAGCTGCTTCATTAAGTTGAAGCAGTGACTACATCTAAGTTGACTAGTTGACTCTTGGCGACCGAACGACAAACACGCTGTAAACATGCACAAATACAAATCAAGCTTGATCGAAATCGTGGTCGACTCCGGGCCACCGGCTACCTCAGTAGACTCGCTATCACCTGATAGCCTGGCCACGGTGGTCGTTGAGCGCTGAGGGGCCTATGACACCTGAGTCAGTTTATATTGTTCGGAGCGCATCATGCAAGACTCAGTATAGGATCGTAAACGGCAGGCGCCCATCCCGGCCGCCTTGTCTGTGTTTTTAGAATCTTGGAGTCCTCTGACATTGAGTGCACAGCAACCACATCGTCCTTGGTACTCGTTCGAGTTTCATACTTCTGACTCCAGCACACTCGAACCCCAATTTTGAACCACCCGCTATCACTGACATTGGAAGACCACGACCACCCAAACGTATCCCCCGCCTGGCCACAGCAGAGGCTACATTCATCCTCGAGCGCATTCTGGATCTGATCAAGCTTACCTTCACTAACCATTGTGAATTGTGCTTGATCTGGGACCATCTCGTTTCCGATAACTGAGTGCGAGCAGAAACCCTGAGGATTCTAACTTTACACGTGGACAATAAGTCTCTACGTACAATGACTCCGGAGCTTGATGTTCGGCTAGGTTCGAGCTAGTCAGGTGACGTCTTGGCATCAGTAAAGCCCACAGGCTCGGAGTCAGACTTGCACCTAACTGGGGTAGCGTTCTAAGGCTTCCAATTCATAGGGATAAACTGCAGTGCAAACTTGACACCAATGGATATTAAATAGACCAAGACCATCCAAATGTAACCTCGGGCTCCCGCCCACGACAAAAAATGTAGTCCTATAAATTAGGCGCATCCGAACAAGTCCAGTGATCCCACGATTCAGAGTGATCTCGTCCAGTCCAAACTTCACTCCACAACGACGCCGAATAAACTACGTGATGAGACGTCACACCGTCGTGACCGTGCATTCTGCAGGTTACATGTCGGACATAGAAATGTACACGAAGCCATCAGAGCCATGCGTCTGCTGGTCGATCTGCCAAAGAAAAAGGTGCATGCGCGTAGCGAGGATTGCGAGGACAAAGAACTGGAGACTGTACGTGTGGTTTGTGCTGTGATTAGAAATTCGCAAGCAGGATTAGGAGGTACATACACTTCGCAGACAAAGCGGTATGCAGTCTGGGTGTGCAGAACATCAATAACTCGATCATATTGAAGGGCGCTTGGGTTCCACGCACTTGGGAGAACAGAATCTGCATTAGGACGTTAACGGCTGTGAGAGCTATCGGAACAAGAATCATTATTCGATGGGCACGGAAACATGTGTATCCTGACTTACGCAGAGCACATATATAGTAAAATATATTATGCTTCACCAGGATGTCGTACAGAGGGCCATTGACAACCCGCCAGCTCTGTACGGCACGTATGATCGTGAGGGAGACGAGTCCTGGGGAGAACATCAATCAGCGTGTGTGTTTCCGGTTTCCGTTGGTTTCCGGTAACAAACCTAGTTGAAACGCAAGCAAGAGAATAAACATTATGGAAACTTTGACAGCGTCGGCCCGGTAGCAGCCTCGGATGCCTGGGATCGCACTGATCGTAACTATGAAAGTGGAGTGAATATGCGCGAATAGTGGTAAGAGGTAGTGCAAACCATGTGAGGCGTTGGCAGTGGCAAAATAGATGACGACAGATGCAACTACCGCAGCCTGTACTGCATTTACCACGAGCTTGGTGTGCGGTGAGGCAGAGGGGACTCACGAAAGAGGCGGACAGCATGGCTGCGAGTACTATTCTGTTATTATTCCAGAGCGCATATGTTCTGAGCACAAAAAAGGCTGGATGAATTGAATCAGGAGCACGTGTGTATCTCATGGAAAGGATATATACATTCGGAGGAAACGATTGATATGACGCTCAAACCTGTGAGAGGACATAGCAGCGTTCAGCAAGAGTGTGCATGCAATATGTACCATGCACGTACATGAGTAGATAATAATCACTATCTGACATTTCTGCCAAAGACAGTAAGCAACTATCAGTGGGGCAGGTCCACTACGCATTCACATACATTGGGGTTTTTGATCGGAGCGAAGTACACTGAAGCACGTTATGTTAATTCATAATCGGTGAGATGTGTGCCGGAGTTGAACGCACAATACAGGTCCGCGATGAGGAGGAGAAATGGGACACATCGTGTAATAATATAAAGGCCTTTTACCATGGTCCAGCGCGATCGAAACAGGAACGTCAACTTTGAAGAGCATATCATTATCAGCATAGAATCCGAAGTGTATACGAACCAGTGCATCACCTCTTCGTGAAGTTGACAAGCATAATCATAGGTCTGGATAAGTAAGTTCAGCAGCGGACGGGAATAGTCTAGGAAACCCTACCCATAATGCAGCCATCGACGCTAAGTTGTCAAGTTAGAACAGCCTGAGATTTAAGAAGAGTTCAGACAGCAGTACTAGTACGCACCGGATGTGTACTGGTGGCATATAATAATGGTATATATTACCTTTCTCACATCAGCAAGAAAGTGACGCACCATTAAGAACTGCAGACTCTTTGCCGTTGCGACATCGTCAGCTGAATAGTAGGAGTCCGTCTGCATTCGTTCGACAGGTAAAAAGGGGTTTTGTGCACACTTTATGAACCGTCTTATCTCTTATAAGTATAAACTGCGAACTCATCAAGATGGGGACATAGCTGCTCCAAATTGCGGGCTTAACAAGAACGTCAATCATGATCAACGGCAGTACTGTTTTACTAGTCAGTCCATTGATTGATCGGGAGTTTCCGTGACCGCTTATCAAAAGTAGATTGCTTCATGTCACACGCTTCATGGCAAGGCAAAGACTAACCTTGAGCTGATAAACCACTCCTGTATAAATCGATGATCATCTTGAACTTTTCAGATTGTTAGAATTACAGCTATCTTCATATCGATAGACCAGGGTTTGGGGGGTTCACTTAGGTGCTTTTATTTGTGACCAAGGCGCTTACCGTGACATGCGTACCGCCCCACACAAGCCCCACAAGTAAGGTTAGCGACTGGCTCAAGTAAATTCCTGGTCTATCAATGATATGAAGGCTGTAATCAAAGCTTAGTAGTCCGCCGAAGATTCTCCATCCTCCCCAAAACGAGATGGCTCATCTGATTTCGCTTTGCTCTGCATAGCCCGGTCCGGTCATTATCCTGCGCCTTCTGACCGAAGCTAGTAGATAATCAGGTTGTGACATGGTATCTAGCTATCACGAATCACGCTGACTGTCCTCAGCTTGGGATGCGGATGAAGCCATCACATACACGCTCACCTTGACAATCAGAAAGTCATCAACTCTTTGAATTTAGAAGTTCCGAGGGATGGGCTCAGCGCAGTGCTCATCATGATCATCAAAGAACAGGTACTACAGCTTGTGTTATTTTCGTGCATTAACCTTAAAATCGCACGGTGGAGGTTCTTCTGAAGCAATGATTTCGATTCATTCAATCACCACAATCCATCGTCTGCATCAGGAAACCCCAACGGTGGGATGCAAGTTATCAGAGTTTTGTCGTGTGATAAATATTACACAGGCAACCGAGATGTAATCCATATACCTTAGCCGCCGCATTTGAATATCCACTATTCTATTCAGTCGTTGTTAGAATATGTAACAGCATTATATAAACATCAATGGACTCACACTACCCATAAAACACACCCTGAAGTCTTTCATGCAACTCGCTGCCCAACACCTGCCGAGCAAATTCCGCTCGGTCTGCTATCCACTCCCCACTTGTTTCAAAGCAAGCAGGAGGGTAAATAACCGCTTCTTCACGAACCTGTCGATACCTCAGCACCTCACGCACAACGCGTCCATCTCCCTTCTCCACCACCATCTTCAAGAGCTTCTTGGATACATCCTCCTGCTCAGCCCCAACTTCCTCGGATCGAAGGTCAGGCCAAATATTGCACGCCACGTGGTGTACCCCAACAAGGCGCAGGAATCCATCCACCGATCCTTGGAGAAGCGGACCGGCGTATTTTCCGATCATTTCACCTTTCTCGATCGGGTACAAGAAATCTCTGAGGTCCCCTGCGATGACCTGGTCTACAGGGGTACGTACAGTACGCAGCACATGCGCGAAGTCTGCCCATAGTATCCGACGATAGTCGATGGGATAGGTTAACGCAAGAGGTGGAAGGAGAAGGGATGCGAAGATCGGGTGTGAGAAGGAGATAGCGTCGTATAGTGCCAGGAAATCTGTGTAAAACTGGTAAAAAGGTGTGCCCGATCCGAGGAATGGCAGAGAGGCCTGCTCCAGATCAATATCGGGCAATTTGGATGAGGGTGACGAAGTGGAGGTAGCGCCGAGGGTGAACGGTGCGAGGAGGTCAGACATTAATTTCGAAACGATGAGGTCTCGGAACACTTCTTCTTCGTCTCCTGTTGCTGGTGAGGGATATTCCTGCTGCTGGCCGTGTTCGAGCATGAACACTTTCATGCAAGCAAAAACCATCTCTGAGCGCTTTAGGGCGAACTGACTCAAGTTATATCGTACTACAATTTCTTGCATAGCTTTGGCAAGCAGCAGTGACATGCGAACGACGTCAACTTCTGATGCGTCCCACGAGGAGGAAAGTGCCTTGAAAACGGGCGAAGACCCGGAGCGGAGAAGATGGTCAATTGGTGAGGTAAGCCACACACGAGGTAACGGGAGGCCAGTTAGGCGATGCTCATCGGGGACAGATGATAAGGAGCTGGACGATGGAAGGCGAAGAGTTGTACACCGCATGATCGACTCTGGTGTGATGTCGCTGGGGGCAATGTATACCTCTCGGTTCGGGCGAATTGCGTAGTCCAGAAAAGGCTTGATGACCCTCCATCCGCCCTTCTCCCAAATGCTAGGGGGTGCCATTGAGCCGAGGAACTGTGGCGTGAGGATTGCTAAAATAGCCCCAAGGATCTGAAAGGCCTGCTCTTCTTCTCCGGGGAGCTGCCTTTCGAGAATTGCCACACCCTGTGCAACCCAGAGGTCAGGCGAGGTCCCTGGAATATGTCGCGATAATCTATGGAAATACACCAAAAATGTCGCCAGGCGCTTGCAGGCAGCTTGCTCAACACCTGTAACAAGCGACCAAAGGGAATGCGAGACGACAAAGGCACAGAAGGACGATAGCTCGGTGAAAGGAAGGTTAAACGGCGGGATACCAAGCGGAGCGGTAGTGTTCGCGCCGGTATTCGCAATAGACGTGCATGCAAGCCAGAGGCGGACTGCAGAGGAAAGCACACGCGCGTGCATGCCAATACGCTGCAGGCGTTGGCACCGCTCTGGTAGTGGCGTGTCATGTGTCTGTGCGAGTTCAGCGCGCAGAGCTTCTAGGGAAGCTGTTACTACGCTATGTTCAACTCCCTTGATAAAGCCGTCCTGGATTATGTCGAGAGTCTCTGCACGCTCTCCCTCTCCTCCCCGGATGCCGTTGACCCGAGCACCCTCAAGCCATGCAGACGAAGCACTCCAGATGGCTGCCCATACTTCCCCTTCCCCTTCAGTTATTCCCTGGCGAAACTGAAGTACCTCGGCACCCCAGCCCCAGCTAGTCACCTGGCTCCACAAGATATCATGCGGTGGAGTCGTGTGATGGGGATCCGTGGCACAGACCATCCATGCTTCCACAAGTCCTGCCCATGCCACTTTCAGCGGCCTCGAGTTGGATGAGACGATATAGGTGAACAAAGAAGCAAAGTAGGAAGCGGCAGATGTCGCTATGTGTGAATATAGACCGTAGGAGGCAAGAGTGGCGTACAGGCGGAGGGTTTCTATGAGAAGATTTGTGGCAAGAGACTCGGGGAAGGGCGAAGTGGGAGGCAGCATAGTAACAAAACGAAGAAGAGCATCGGCCGGCCCACATAGTGCCATAGCGTTAGTCCGAGAAGATGACGCAAGGACAATGAGGCACCGGAGAGCGACAGGGTTAGGCAGGGGTGTGTCTGACTGGGGCGGTATAGGCGTAAGAAGGAATGTCTGTAGGAGAACGGGGAGTAATCGAAGGGTCTTCACGATTGATTCAGCAATAGTATTCGACTCCTGCGATAACCGATAAACAATGGACAGAAGTTGGGCCAGAGATTTGGGGGGTAAGAATGCTTGCGTGAAGAGTTCTGTAGCTTGGGTGAGGAAGTCGGGCACTTGCAAAACGGACATGATGGCAGGAGCGAGATCTAACTCGGCACGCTCAGCATCAAACAGGGCGTTCCAGCCGACAATACACTCCCAGACAACCTCAATGGCCCGGACACCGACGCCACCTTTCTCGTTCATCGCGGAGAGTCCGGCAGCGAGAATACGTTTTCGTAGTTCTTCCTCCTTCCCCTGTAGTTCTAAAATCCTGTCCGTGTAATGGGGGTCCCTCGCTTGCATGCCCAACCGGTGCGCGATTCCGACCAAGATATCAAGCATCATGGTGCGCTGCGCGGGGACAGTGGAGCGAGACAGAAAAAATATGTCATCAAGAGTGTACCCTGCGCGTTCTCCGTCTGCATGATGGTGCAAGCCCAGATGAGAAGGCAGAGTGGCGGAGATTTCTGCAGGTATGGGAGCACCCGTCAGATCGAAGCGGAGTAAAACCGGCTCCGAATTGGACAACGAAGGTTTCATCCAAGACACGGATGGGTTGTCTGCAGGCATATTTGGGAAATATCGTCTCCGAATATATTCTGGAGTGCCTTCCTCAGGCTCTGGTTTATCATTCGTAATCTTCTGCGCAGACCTGTCGTCACCCTTGGGAGTTGTAAGAGAAAGTGGTCGCTTCCGTGGCAAACCATTCTCTTTAAAGGTGCCCAGGGAAACAATTGACGAGTCTGGAGCATCTGGAGGTGGAGGGAGCGCAAGAGCCTTTCGTTTGGGAGACACTGGGGCAGACTCATACACGTAGACATCAGCAGGCGTCAATGCCGCAAAGCGAATTTGACGACTAGCTTTACTGGGCGATGAAGGTCTAGTACTGCTTTTCACCAGGATTGGAGGAGCTAAGATGCAGCTTTCGTGTTAAAATACCCATCAGACCCGGGGAGCGACGTGCCTCTTTTCCCGAAATCTTCCAGGCTCTTGACCCTTGAAAGGTTGCGTCTGATAGCAAGACCAGGTAGTGGAGAAACAATAGGGATTTCGCGGGAAACCTCTGGAGCCTGCTCATTTTGTACCAGTATACCCTCAGCTATAGCGGGAGCCTTCGTTGTCTTTCTTGATCTTGCAGCGCGTACACGCTCCAGAAGGGCACCTGCACCACTTCCCAGTTGCTCTAAAACCTCGCGTCTCTCTTGTTCTCGCTCCTCTTCAGTCATATTGGCCACTCTGCGTTCGTTCTCTTCACTAATCTGTTGACGCATAGCATCATCGGGGGTGTGTGAATCTACCTGAAGGTCTCGAGATTCAGTTTGTTCGATGGGACGCGCAGGTATTACGAGAGGTACGGCTGTGGGCCTGACATTGTCACTGCTCTTTTCCTCTTCTTTGGCGCGAGCAAATGCGCTCTTTGACCTGTGTTGAACGGCTGGAAAACCTGAGCCAGGAGTTTTTGCGAATCTTGGAGAGGGTAAGCTTTGGGTTGTAGATGTCTTGCGCTCAAATACAGAGCCAATCAGCGAACGTTCAGTGGAAGACATTCTCAGTTGCAAAACGTAAGGAGGTCATAAGTAGAAGGAGTGTGCTGCCAGTTCATCAGGCTTGGTGGGCAAAGGGACAAAAATTTCCGAAGTATGCAGTTACGTAATAATAGTATCTTGTTTAGCTGAGTTCGACTTAGTATAGTAACTTAGCAAGTTGCCAGCTTCAATTGATATCTGTAAAGTGAGTACTGCGGCCAAGAACCCTGATCCTGGACGATGTCATGCGCGCCTGTATGTGGTGGAGCATTTGAAAGTATTCCAATCATGTACGGTGACTTCTGTATTTCTCTGCATATTTGACGGTGCTTCGAATCTTAGTGATCTGGAGGATGCATTTAGCGAAGATGAAGCTCTACGACGCGCCCTGGCACAACAAATTCGAATGGCATGCATGGATGTTGGATTCTTTTATGGTACGCCCAGTCTGGTATCTGTCCATCTCGCATTTTATGACGTGAACTCCAGTCAAGAACCATGGTATAGCACAGCATTGTCTTGACGAAGTCCTGAGAGTGAACAAGGAGTACTACTCGCTTCCATCTGAGGAAAAGATGAAAGTGTGTCTATCTGAATGCACTTGACTGATGGCATGAAACATCTATAACTAGCTTCATCATAAGACGGTACCAAATTTCAAAGGCTATAGCCCTCCATTGGAAGCAAACATCCAACCAGGCAATAAAGGTGACTTGCATGAGGGCTTCCGCATCGGTTGGGAGGAAAAATCTGGAGATACAGTGGTTCAAAATACTTCTCGCGATGGAGTGATGGCAGGTGCAAATGTCTGGCCGGATAGACCTGAAGATTTTAGAACTGCTTGCATGGACTATTAGTCGAGTTGATGATCGCTTTTCGAGACATCGGAAACTAACGATGCAGTCTTACAGTCACGCTGCACTTGCCGTCGGAAAGAAACTCTTTTGTCTCTTTGCGCTGGCGCTCGACTTGCCCGAAACGTACTTCGACGACAAGGTAAGTCCCTGCTTGGCCTGGTACTCTGTTTAGCACAGGTCATAGTTTATTTACATAGACCGTGTATTCAGCCGCTACCATGCGTACCCTCCACTATCCGCCTCAGCCAGATGCTCTAGATGATAAAACACTGGGAATTGGAGCTCATACTGAGTGAGTTGTTTCGAAGCCATCATGTCGATGCATAATCTTGACGCCATTCGGATTTAATAGTTTTGTGGTAAGTCTAAATGTCTGAGCTCGTAATGTACTGAACCATGGGCAGTGTTTTACGATTCTCTGGCAACAAACAGGCCTTGAAGCTCTCCAAGTTTTGAACTCCCGTGACCAATGGATCAACGTACCACCGCTACCAGGAACCCTTGTTATCAAGTACGAATATTTCGCGTGCTTTCTATATAGTTTTTCTCTCTCTAGATTTCGTTACTAACACTGGACTATCAGTCTTGGAGATCAGTTCGCGCGTTGGACAAGTGCGTACTAGACCTCAGTGTCCTTGGTGATTTACACCGGATGCCGATCATATTGTACAGACGATATTTTCAAGTCTACCGTGCATCGAGCCGCCAACAAGAACATTATTGATCGGTATTCCATCGCACTATTCTTCGGCACTGACTACGAGGTTAACATTGAGGCTAGTCAATTGAATATGGTTTTACGCTATCTCATGGGTCTCATTCAACACATCACAGCCAATCTATACCTGCGTGACAGCTGAAAGACCAGCGATATATCAGGCCATCACCGCTGGAGAGCATGTGAGGCAACGATTGAAAGCCATGTATAATAAGTAAATTGTAGTTGCTACTATTGGAACATGTCGGATGCAGGTTTCGGCGAATATGATGTACAAACTTTATCTTATCTCGGTCGGAACAACGTGGAGAAACACTTCTATCTCTTCCTTCCCGCCTTCTTCATCGATAATCATGTCTTTAGCAGAGTCGGCGTCTGTTATTGATGGCGCTTTTCAAAATATACCCATAATGTCTGTTTACTGGTCAAATTCACTTGCCAAGAATGACTTTGTTGACTTCACCGCAGTGATCTTTCTCGTGCAACGAGTCCGGATGAGAACGAGAGGAAAGGCCTTGCGTATCAGATACGCGATGCATGTATGAATGTAGGGTTTTTCTATGGTGAGCCTTCTGTAGACGCATAGAAACAACACTTCAACTGCGACGTCACGGTCACCTTACATTTGCTGGCAGTCAAGAACCATGGGATACCACCGGAATATATAGTCAATATCCTTGAAGTCAACAAGGAATACTTCAAGCTTCCAACGGAGGAAAAACTTAAGGTGTCGATCATGAAGCTTTCACCTCTGTTCAGAATCACTAATTGACAGCGTTTTTGTGTAGCTCAACCACAAGACCGTCGCCAACTTCAAAGGATACACACCACTACTCGATGCCAACATTGAACCTGGGAACAGAGGCGACCTGCACGAAGCGTTCCAAATTGGCTGGGAGGAGCTCGAGGCAAAGGCCCATGATGAGAAGCGCGCAAATGATGGTGCCATGGCGGGCGCTAATGTATGGCCCGAACGTCCCGAAGGGTATAGAGAAGGCGTGTTGAAATACTAGTGGGTACTTCTGCCTTGACGGGTGATGTATCAACTTATAGCTTCGTTAGCCATGCGGCAGTAGCTGTAGGGAAGATACTTTTCCCACTGTTCGCACTATCTTTGGATTTGCCAGAGAGATATTTTGACGACAAGGTGCAGTGTCGTTGCAATGAATGTCATGGGATCTTCGGGCTTTCATTAAATGTTTTGTAGACGAAGAACTCGGCCGCCATTATGAACACGTTACACTACCCCCCACAAACAGGTCCCGCGGATGATCGTATCGTCGGCATCGGTGCCCACACGGAGTGTGTGATTCATTGCTGACTTCCTTCTTTTACATTATTGATGCCTTGTAAACATTTAGCTTTGAGGTGCGCTTCAATCACCTTAAAACTCCGTCATGATTCTCACCCATTGTGTTGCAGTGTTTCACGATACTCTGGCAACAGCCAGGAATCCAAGCGCTGCAAGTTCTAAATTCCCAGAAGCAGTGGATCGAAGCCCCACCTATTGATGGAACGCTGGTTATTAAGTGATCAGATCCGCTCCTGGCTCGGTTTCAATGGCTGATTGTCTTGTACAAGCCTGGGTGACCAATTCGCTAGGTGGACAAGTACGATTTTCGCACCATACCATGACTTCATCTCAGCGTTCAATATTTAGATGATATTTTCAAGTCTACGGTCCACAGGGCTGTCAATAGGAACGGCGTTGACCGATATTCTATTCCCCTATTCTTCGGCACTGATTATGATGTTAACATCGAGGTTCGTGCTTGTTTACTGTCTGATTACTCGACAATTGAGATAGTTGAGCAGCCTATTGCAAGTTGTGTATCTGCCGAGCGACCTGCGAGGTATGGACCCGTATTAGCTGGCGAGTATGTCAGTCAGCGCTTGAAGGAAATGTATTACTAGGCGACCTGAATTTGTAACTTTGTCAATGGTCTCAGTACTTAGTCTCGTGTGAGCGCAGAACATCGAGGATTAGGCGCATTGAGATTTAATTAGGCGGGACCTCTCATGGGAAAGAGATGTCTTGTGATGGACTGCGAGTGCACTTAGGCTAGCAATCCCTCGAAGTCTCGCAAACACAAGCACTATAGCTGGATCGCGTTGGGTAACATGAACATGACGCGCAACAAAATTCATATAGCTCAAGAAAGTACAAGATGTAAAAGCCTATTTCACGACTGGCATTATTTTACAGCTTCGCAGTTTTTGCGATAAGACCCAAAGCTGTCAACCATGCTGCATCATGCCGCAGCTGGGTGAGTCGCCTGCCATCCACCCTGTAGAAAAAATCATGTTCAGAAAATCACCCAAATCAAAGATAAGCTCAGGCTTACACTAAAGACACCCTCATGGTGCTGCCAGTCGCATATGTAGACAGGGCGATCCTTGTTCTGTCCGTGTTCAGCAACAGCGGTCGACACCAGGGAGATTTCTATGGGAGTAACATTGCGAGAAGTGCTTTGGTGGCTTGGTATCTGGGGAGCCTCTGTGCCTCCATCAGCCCTGGCAAGCTCTGAGCCAGTAGCATCCACAATCTTTCCAAAGAACTCTCCCTTGATGTGAGCGAGTGTCTGGTCGAATGTAGCCACCGTTTCACTGTTGGCGCTTGATTTCATGATACTCTCGATCAATGCGGGAGGAATGGGAATAATGCCGTGGATTACAGTTCCCGCTTCACGACGCAGAGTACACGCTTACAAGGGGAATGATCTGGCCGTGCAAAGACTGTGACGGTGCCTATGAGCTGCGGAGCCGAATGCTCAGTTTCCTTTATGGTAGAGCTGGAATGAGTAGGAGCTATTGAAAGCATGCTCCAGAAGTTTCACGTGCACAGCAAATGTGCGATATTGAGGAATAACAGTATGGTCGGACAGCACGGCAGGATGGTCCTTGTCTGGAACAGGAAGTTGCGTCCAAGCGGACGCCGTCACCTGTTGCGCCGTGGTTTGTGGATCAAACCCGTAATAGGCCGCAACCTTCTTGCGTGCCAAGGCACGCTCGTCGGATGTCATAGCAGCTCGATTAACTTTAATGCCTGCAAACTCGGGATACGAATAATCTGACCGAGGTGAGCTTGTGTCATTCTAGACAAGATTGCTACGTACACTTTGGAAACGCGTCTGCATGCAAAAATCGAGCTTGAGAAGAGGTCCAGTAGTCTCCTTGTTCCGTTCGGAATGGTTGGAGTGGCCCGTCTGGAAGGAGCTGTGCGTTGTAAACTTGCGCATATGTACCGAGTTGCTAAAAGACAACTACTGAGTACTTGCATCACGACATCATCCAACCAATACCTGTGTCCAAGGGTATGATGTCCCTTTAAGTTCATACCCGTTTTCCATCCAGTACTCGGTATAGCACCACTCCCATAGAGCCACTTTGGGGTGTCAGTTACAAGAAAACGCCCTTGAACCAAATCATACATACACAGTCTGTCCACATTCGAATGGTGAACTGGAACGGGAGAAAGCCATGTAAGTCATACATGTAAGCAACTTGCGCCTAATTACGCACGGAAAAACAAAGGATCGAAGCCGGCCTATTTGAAGAGAGCTCAACATCATTGTGGTGGGTCAGAGGAGTTACTCACGTAGTCTGGGGCACTCTGCAAGTGTTTAATGAAGATCAACAGTATCGTTCGCACACAGGAATTTACAACTAACCATGTGTCCAGTTCCACCCTAAGTGATTGCTTGGAGTAAGCATATTTTAAAGGTTGGAACAAATGTATGTCACCTACAGCCAATATGTGAACAGCATCGTGCACACCTTCAAGCGACCCAGAGTTGAAATTATCCATTTCTCTCTTCGACTCCGTAGTATGATTGGAAAATTCGTCCCAGCTATCAAGATGTCAGTCAGTGCACAAGACTAGCAAAGACTAGCAAAGCTAAGACATACGCTAGTGCAGAAACCTCGTCATCATTTACTACAAAGAGCTGAGCGACTTTGCTTCTTAAATCCTTTGCCCCGGCTTTGAACGCCCTTACAAAGTCCAAATCAGTTCCCACCTCACGCGACATGTCTCGATCGATACTCACTTTTGCAACTGGTCTATGTCGCTGCCTTCAGGGTTCGCGGTACTAGCAACATAGCGGTATGTCCTGTGCCACTTGGAGAAGTATGCCACTTGTCCCGTCTGTCAACCACATTGTTTCAAGCAAGTTCCAAGATATGGAAAGGCAAAAGTATCATACCCTGAGCGTCTCGTCGGAAAAATCGGATGGGACCCCATCGACGAATGAGAAAAATGAAAGTGGATTATCAACAATTTGTTTTTGACCTCCAGCAGCCATGATTTCCACTTTGTCTTCATACAAAACAGGTGGAAGGCCATTCTCGGAAACATCCTTCTCGGCCCAATCCCAGTATCTGTGTGGAATATAATCGCCTGAATAAGCACTGTAAATGATTTGGCACGCACGGAAAGCGTAGTTCCTTGGCAGCTTTGACCCACACTCCACATTCATGCGGGTTTTTAGCCTCGATGTCGTGGGCCAGTTGATCAGCAATGTTTCCGATGGATTGCTGCAAAAAAATTGAGCAACATGTCAGTCACGATCATTTGTTGAGCATACCTCAAGAAGCATGACGTATGGGCGGTGCCAAGTAGGAAAAAAAACGGAGCCATGGCTGAACAAAGGTTTCAAAATAGACAGAGTGGAAGGGAGTACACTAGCTTACTTGCAATAACCTGTCACAAGCAGCATTGTCAGGCTGCGGAAGACTGCAATGGAAACGACCAAATACCTCCGAATCTGGCAGGAACGGGATTAGTATCTTTCTTGTCAGTGGCGCTATAGTCAGTTGAGGTGTTTTTGTTGCGGTCGCCTGCCCATTCAATGAAGGGCCTTCCGTGAATCGACGCAATTTCCATGAAGGTGCCTGCAGGCTCTCCAACAACTTGGGGGGCATCGGGACGCTGCTGGATTACGGCAAAGGCAAGGATGAACAATGCAAATTGGTAAGGATGGTCCTTCTCCAACGTCTCGATAGGCAAGCGATCAAATACGCCTCCAGTGCCCTTGCGGCCAATCACGGGATAGTGGTATTCGATAGAGCTCATCATTGAAGTAGATCAGAGAGTGGCAAGATATTAGAATTGACCTGGCGTTCCATCGTCTTGTAGTAGGAGTTGTATTTAAATGCCCACTACAGGCACACAGACAGAGCTCGCTTATGTGGAGCGGTCAGTCAGATACTGCGGCCGTGGCTGGAGACGTCTACTTCGGGCATTGTTGAGACATGGTTGATTGAAAGCTGACTGGATCGGGTAGAGGGTTGTCATTTCCTGACGCCTTATCCTTGAACGTTCAGGACCAGTACTCTCATGAACAGCGCACCCGACTACTGGAGCATCAAAATCGAGTACAGTGGGGATCATCGATGTGTTAGAGGGGATTTATATATGATTCCTGGGCAAACTAAGGAGCATTCTCAGCGATTTCAGTAGAAAGATAGCTGAAGTACTTCTGAAGACAATTAGCCGAGACGTAAGAAGCAGGTAAAGTGGCTAAGAAGCCTACCGCAGAAAGACATTTCTCTCGTTTGGCAGTCACGGTATATCATCGAAAATTTCCAGGATCACATCTGGCATGAGTCGATGAAATTTTGCCTTCAGCTTTTGCAAACTCCTAGCAGAATTTGGCAAATAGTGTAATATTTTCTCCCATGTCCCTCGCCCACCGCTGATACTGTGGAGGTAGGGAAAAAAAGAGGAGCTGGGATGACCGTCGATGTTTTAGATTAGGCAGAATCCTTGGTCGCAGCGAAATGTGAATATTTGAACCACGATTGAGTGAAAACGTGCCCGTGACTGGTACTCTTCTCTAGGTTCACGTGTCAGATATTTTCATGCTTGCTCTTGGAATGCTATACTGTGTGAGTGCGGGAATCAATGTAAGGCGGACAGTACTCCGAAGAAATCAACAAATTTCCACCTGATCTAGTGGATTCGTGGCTGACATGCTAATCACTGCAAATCAATCAAGTTTCAACAATTCGCACTGGCTGCCGTTGTACAGCCAGGTGCAAGATGCTTGCACCCGATAAGATGTTCTCCACTCGAGTGCACGTCCATATGCAGACCAATATTACATAATACTCCCGAGTCCATTTTGGGACTAAGATAATGTTCCCGGTTTACTTTACTCGTAGACTACCGCCCCAAGAACTCAAACACAATATTTCGAACAGTTTTCAGCTTGGCTTCCGTGACTCTGCGTTCAATTGGAAAGAAATTCATCTCCGACTCCGGGTCATATCGTCGGACTGACACAGTCACGCAGTGCTCAGAGCAGATCGTCGTCCTTGAAGGTCACCGGCACTAGTATTGGCCAACACCATTATGTCAAGTGATACGCCTCGGCGCGACCAAAATAGCTCGAGCAAACCATAACGGCCACTGTTAAACTATTTCTCGTTTATCATCCTCGCGTGACTTCGCCTTGCAGGTGGTTTGTCTCTGCACCACGGCTGTCACGTTCTGCTCTCCTCGACTCTGCGACCAATTAACAATTCCTTGATGCAAGTTGCATCTCTACAAAGTGGGCGAAGCGTCAAACTCAAAGGTGATGTACTATGTGCTAATCAGCAACGAACTTGGGGCTATCTACGGACAGTAACCTGTATACAATATTTCATAGTACGCAACGAATATCATCGCACTTTATATATCTGAACGACAGTCTCTCCAACTTCCGTTGTCTCAGAATTCTGTCTCACAGAATAATGGATCTCTACATCAAGTTCACGAGAGTTATTAGCGCTCTTCTTGCAGTAGAACGACCCCGTCACAATGGTGCCTGCATTTTATTGAACTTGAGCCATCTAGATTCAGAGTGGAGATGTGCAACATACCGTCTTCTGCATGGATCGGATCTCTTAATAGGAAAATTGTTTGCTTCCAGTGCGTCGGCTGGCTACGAGGCCCCGTGCTGAAGCTCGTCACTCTCTTATCCTCCTTTTGCTTGAGACCGGGACCCGTGCTTGCACGGCGTTGCGGGGGTGCTTTCCCACCCACAGGCCATACCTCAGCGAGTGTCACATCACCCTCCTTCGTCACCTTGACGGGCACTTCAGGAGGAACAGGTTCGCCCGTCGTCGTGAAGAACGTGTCAAAGTACAATATAAACGCGTGGATTTTGGTGCGTTTAGGGGTAGTTGAGACGAGAGTGAATTGAGAAGTGAAGTCGAGTTGGCGGGTTGTGATGTCTTTTATGTGGAGGTCCTTGAGGAGATAAGGTTCGCTCGCCATTGATTCGGGCCCGACGACGTCGACGATGGCTTCCTCATAAACATCGTTTGCCATGACCGACAAATCGAAACCTGCAACGTATTTTGAGAATCATGCAATACAACGAAATAGAACAATACACACCATAAACATCACTCCAGAATCCTATGCGTTCCTTCAAGACTTCGCTACCTTCACAGAGCCCGAACATGATCCTGCACTGGCTTGGGGCCATCACGCCTCCCTCTGGTTTCAAGAATCTGTCGCGCGCTTGCAGCACAGAGTCGAGCATGGATTCGTAGAGTAACGCGTAGCCCATCCATTCGGAGACGATAATATCGACGTGCTCGACATCATCCGGGAGGGAGATCTCTTCAACTTTTCCACGAATGACGCTACATGTGCGTGATCAATCATGCAAAGCAGATAAGGAGAACTGGCAGATGCTCTTACGTGATGACATTGTCTAGCCCGTTCGCTTTAACGATCTGTTCAGCCTTCTCGGCAATGTCGCTTGCGTCGACTGCGTAAACGTGCTTTGCCCCTGACTTGGCGGCGAGGAGGGAGAGTATTCCGGTGCCACATCCGACATCGAGTACGACAGCATCGCGGAACAGGATGGGGTTTGTGAGGATGAACGACGCGTAGGTGGAAGTGCGGACTTTGTCCTGGATCATAACAGCGTGGATGTCTTTTCACAACATATGAGATCTTGGAACACCATCAACCCCTGGAAAATCACGCACCATTTTCGCAGTAGCTGGAGAAATAATGGGTGTCGTCGTCTCGCGGCAACAGACCTCCTGCTGATGAAGGACCTGGTTCGCTGATAATCTCTGCGAAACGCCCCGCGTCAAACTGTTGACCGACAAGTGAGCGGTATTCTGCCATGTCACGATGAGCCTGTGCGAGCTTCCTTTCCAGGAGCTGCATCTGCCGAAGTGCGCTTGGTAGATCAGCGGGTGGTGCCGGGCGTTGGTCAGTGCTGGAGAGGTCTTCGTCGTCTGACCAGTCATCCATTTCTAGCTCTTTGGATGATTGAGCATCGTATGAAGGACGCGGGAGATGTAATAATACGTACGAAGCAGCGGATCATCTTCAATCTGTGGGATTAGGTACTCATCTGAAGAGAAGAAAGTCTCCGCCCCTGTTAAGTTCCCGACGTCTTCTGGTGTAGGCGCCTGAAGCTGTGTGTCAGTCGACGACGCGTGAGAGATCGAATAAAATCGTACATGTTTTCTGATGAAGTTGATTAACCGTATGCGCTGATGAAGGTCCAGTTCTAGGCTTGATCGTCACTGATTGGATATTCACGATGATTTCAAGACACTAACCCAGTTTCGCGCTTATGGTGCGCAAATCAAAGTTATGGACATCCTTGTCGTGTGCACGAGCAGCAGTAGCTGAAGGAAAGGCCTTGTCATCGAAGAGTGACCGGCAAGACTGATTTTGTGCTTGATCTGATACCCAATCTTCGAAGTTGTTGTCTTCCTCGGCGTAATCTGAGTCTGATTCAGATGATACTGATGGATCATCTACGTCCTCCCCCGTTGTATGGATCGTGGCTGCGGCGAAACGTATGGTCATAGTTTTTTTGGGTTGAGTCTAGGCAGGTGCTAGAAGGAAATGAGGACCCAAAACTATCCGATTACCGATATCACAGGAGGCAATCTGCCTAATATATACGTCCATACGGGTATACTTACGAACAGGCACAAGACCAGACATCGAGCATAATATCATTGACAGGCACTTGAATCAGGTCTATACGATCACATGAAGTCCTCTTCGATAGCTTTCCCGGTAAGCTTCGGCGCATCAGGATCCTCCTCGACTTCGAATAACAAATCGTAAGAGCGGGCAGCCTTCTCCGCTTCCCTAGTCTTGGCTAACTCTGCTTCAGCTTTTTTCTGTACTCTTAAATTAGTGATTGGTTTGAAAGTGAGATAACGCGAAGCGAACGTTTTGAGCAGCTACAGTTCTTTTCTCTGCGTTCTCTTTCTTGATGCGGTCTACGCGCTCTTGCTCATGATCTACATCCCTCTCGACTTTTGTTTTGTTGAGACGGTTTATGGTTAGATTTTCTCGCTTTGGGATGTGAACTGAGGGGGTATTAAGCAATAAAAGCGATTGAATGCGGAACTTGAGAACCTCTTTTGACCTGCAAATCAACAACATTCAACAGGCAGCGACGATCGAGAGATAAGGGCGCACGCACTTGTTTGTCACTGTGAAATGACACCTGACCGACGGCCATATCTCCGGATTTCTGGTATGAATATCTTCAGGCGGGCGCCCAGTGCGTGCATTGTGGAAGGCCCACCTTGAGGTTACTCCCCGGAGTATAAATAATGGTGAGGTTGTCTTTCTTATTTCCTACACATCTAAGATCAATATTCGGTGGATAGATGACCTGAATATGTTCACGAACCTTCGATCGAGTTAGCTTTCACTAGCTGCGCACAATCGGTCAAAAGCACCTGGGGAATGCTGTCCCAGGTCATAGTCGGTGGCATGCGAAGATAGACGTGCGCTGAGGACAGCTTGTCGACGTGGAACCACACATCCTGAGGCCATGCGTATTTAATCAAGTCTTCGTCTGATCTGGGATGGTGAACTTCAGTGTGTTGTGTGATGGGTGTTGCTAGGCTCACTCTCGACTTTATCCTTGCCCATGTAAACCATTGCTGGCGGATCAACCACTATACCGAAAATCAGTATTACCACAACTTGATTAGACAGAAGGGCTTACCAGTGGAAGTGAAGAAGAGGACCATTGCACTTGTGGCTTGAGGGAGGACGATGTAGGTTCTAGAAAACTAGATTTGCAGATGAAAGAGCGTGAGAAACATCGGATAGGCTGCCCTTGCACGCGAACCACAACGAGCGCTTACTTACCGGTGGCATCCACTAGCTACAAGCTTGCCTCGAACTCTGCTCTGCTTTACTGTTCTGACTGCCTATACAAACGCTTACAGTATCTCATTTGTGCGTCTTGATTTTATTTTTTTGACAGAGCCTTCCTAATTCTTCCAAAGAATCGATTGCAAAGTTTCTGTAACTTCAAGATATATTCTCAATCAAAATGCAACCCATTCCAAATCGGTTAGGACTTGGTCTGCGTCCACCTTTGCCATCATACGGCCAGGGGCCCTCAATGTCGGTTCTCGCACAGCAGCAACAAATGCTTCACCAGGGCTTTGTCCCTCCTCAAGCACAGAAGCTGACATCCCTGTTCGTTGGCTCAATATCTGGCGGTGTCACCGATAGCTTTCTAAACAGACTTCTTGTGGTAAGGATATATTGTCCTGATCCTCGTGTCATTCGCTTACAGCAGCTTCCCAGGCGTGTGGCCCCGTCAAGTCCTTCAAGCGCCTCATCACCCCAGCGAACAAGCCGCAGGGTTTCGGATTTGCTGAGTTCGAAGATCCTGACTCTGCATTACGATGCCTTGCTCTTTTGCAGGGTGTTGAGTTACCGGCACTCGAGGATGGGTGCGCGAACAAGAAATTGCTGGTGCGTCGTACTTTATATCTATTTCTCTCTTCAAGCCTACGTCGAATATCCAGATCAAAGCCGATGAAAAGACGAAGCTTTTTCTCGATGCCTACTCTGCACAAAAAATGAAAACCGATGTAATTATTCCCCACTTTCCTTACCTGACCGTCAACGAGCTAACGAACGATGCGCTTAGGCTGATGAGATAATGTTACAACAAGCAAAAATGAAGGTTGATGAATTAGTCGCCGAGATCAATCAGCAATCACAAGAAGCAGCCAATAGCGGTCTTCTCGACAAAGAAAAATATGTCATCCCACCACATCTACACGATCTTCAGGAAGCCGATCTTCCTGAGACGCAACGTGGTCTTGTCATATCTGAAATCGCCCAATTTCGTGAACGAGCCGCAAAGCGGGAGCGGGAAAAGTTGCGTGACGTTCGTGACGCCATGCCTCAGCTTGCACCTACCCCAAGCGGGCCGAAAGTCCGTGAGTGGGGAAAGCCACAAACCCCACAGTCACCACAGACTGTTCCAGGTAAATCTGCTCCTCGCGGAAAGGATGCGCAGGGATACAACAAACCTGTGGGGTTCGTAAAAGCCGAGGATGGCGCCGCTGCAATGGGGTCTGATGATCGCAGTATGCCAGGCAAGAGCGGAAAGACAGATGAGGAACTCGAAAAGGACCGCAAGGAAGCCAGACGGCGAGACGAGGAGGTTTCCTTCCGGGACGTAAGTTACAGTAGTTATTTCGCCAGGTGCAGAATCATCCTGCTAATGTTCACGATCTAGCGCGAACGTCGCTACGAGCCCCGAGAGCGCACCCGTATAGCAGCTCTAGAGCGTTCGATAGCCCGTCAGACCGCAATTAAAGAGGCAGAAGAGCGAGATCGTGTGGAGATGCAAGCTCGTCTGGATGTTTGGGATGATGATGAAAGTGATGAAATGTTTTACGTCGACAGGTGCGTTTACAAGTTTGTGTTCCGTGATTTCGCTCATAGTCTATGCCAGAACGCGGTGGAGACAGACTCGTTCCCGTAGGCTTGCTGCAGAGGAAGCAACAGATGCCGAGTCCCGCATTTATGAAGAACGTGAGACAGAGAATCTTCGTGTCGAGTCTGAGAAATTCCTCGCACGCCAGATGGAGGACATGCAAGCTCTCGCCGACGAGCAGCGGAAAGCAGGCATGCTTCTTGATGACGGTGCGCCAGTCAAGCTTAGCGTGTCACTGAACCCCCCGCCTGTCAAGGCAGAACCTATTCCCAAGGACACGAAATCGACTGTGTTTGGGCAGGAAGAGGAGGAGGAAGAGGGCATCAAGAAGCGGAAGGTACCGCTCGTTAAGCTTGACTTCAGTGCCGACCGAGGGCGAGAAGGCCAAAGAACGCCTCCAGATGATTAAAGAATCTGTACCCCACAATAGGGAGGCACTGTTCAAGGCGAAGGTCAGGTGGGATGGTGTTTCAGATGTAAGGATTAGGTTTCTCGTGTCCAAGCTGCCTGCTAATAATGTGCCATAGCCCATGATTGACCGCAAGCTGGAGCCACTGATACGACGTCAAATGGTAAACTATCTCGGTGAACTAGAGGATGACGATCTCGTCATGTTTGTTGTGGAGCACCTTAAGGATCACAAGGGACCTCAGAAACTTATCGAAGGGCTGGAGCCGGTGCGCCTTGCATATCACTGGTGCACTTGCCATTTACTAAACATCTATGGACAGGTTTTGGAAGAAGAGGCACAAGAATTCACGATCAGCATCTGGAGACAAATAATTTTCGAGAGCATGGCATACGGCGAAGGCCTGCACACGGAAAAGCTGATGGTCGATTGAACAGAGGGTGGGCTTTTGCACGCTGGGGTTGCTCTGCTCAAGAGGGCAGGTGCGTTGTAGCATTAATATCATGACCGCTGAGGTGTATGAGCTTCGAGAAGCAACTACACTGCGCCAGATGAGGATTTAGGATGCTTGATAGGCTGGGGAAGGGCTAAAAGGGTGCATCCGTAAGTACGTCATTAACCTATTCCCGTGACAAATGATACTTCTTTCTGAGCGTACCTGTATCAATCGATTGGTGAAGACCTTTGGGATTTTTCAAAAAAGCGCACGTTGCACATGGCACCATGCTGTTGAGTTCTCAAGATCTGCTTACCAGTTTGGAGTTATTAATTGACGAGGGAATGAGTAATGAGATATGCGCCTAGACCTGACTATTCCTGCTATCGCCATCAAGGTACTATTGTTGAACAAGCTCTCCTTTCGAGGCACCCCTCGACTCGTTGAGTTTTGCCTTTTTCTCAATGTTGTCGGTCTCGTTGACCCGATCCAAGCCGCTTGCCCCCGACTGCAGTAAAACGTTATTCGACCGTGGCTGTCAAGATTTTCTTCGACCATCTTTTTCTGTAGCTTTACCGATGCATGACATCCGTTCTGATGTTCGTCCTTGACCTCGTTACTGTCGCCACCGATTTGACGTTGAGGGATGTTCAGGTACGTCCACGTGCTTACTTATGACATGGGCGGTATTTCGTGAGCGCCTAGGGTCTACTGATTAGTTGGTACATTGGTATGTGCTGCACTGTAAGGAATTTGCTGGACGAATGCTAGTGTGCCAATGATCATCAGTGATTTTAATTAAAGGCGTGAGTTACCAAGTCTTATGTATTGTGGCGTTATGTAGCTCCGCGCCACGACGTTATAACTTCAAGCTCTACTCAACCCATTGCGTGAATTCAGCTTTCATCACTCAATGTCACTACCGATGCCACTCGGATTTATCCTGTCCAATTCTGAATTCGATCTTTCATGCATGGCAGTCTCACGTTCCGATCAGAACGTTTTTTATTATGTCAGTGGGAGATCTGGGTACAGTAACGAATTTGCAAGAAGCCGGCCCAGTCAGCAGACCTCGGTCAAGGCAACTGCTGATCCATCCATCAACAATTACCAGGATTTGTTGATGTTTTGTAGGCAGGGTAGCGACGTTATGCGCGGAGCGCCTATAAAAAGTCCCATGAGCTGGCGATTATTAGGCTGCGTCGCGTGGCAGGCCTCAAGAGCTCCTAGTATTTATACGACACCCGGTGCTACTTGAGTCACTGGTGACCAGGACATACATATCCCGCGCTCATGATGGTGTCGAGCTTGAAGGCTGCGGTCATCGCTGGCCTTGTTCATACCATATTGGCAGCTTCCACCAATACTAGTACCACCACCACTGCACCTGGCACCGCGGTACCAACGTTGACCATTTCGACAGCAGTGGCTAGCCCTAGTGCATCACTGGGCGCGACTCTGCCTTCACAGGCACCACTACCCCCAACTCAAGGATGGTGCATTGGTCAAATATTTTGCGCTGGTTCAGTACGTTACTTCATAATAACTTTGTGAGTCCCAGTACTAACCTCTGCCCAGTTGCTACAGACAGTCAATATTGCGCAGGTATACACTGATCCGAAGACGTTCGTAGACAAGCCAACCAGCAAGTCTTCTCAGCAAGTTCTTGCAGACTTCAGCAACTTCAACTTGTCGACGGTTACCGAAGGGCAGATCGTGAATTTCGTTGATAACGATTTCCTTGGAGAAGGGCTTGAACTGGAGGCTGCTGCTCTCACGAACTTCAATCCTACTCCAGCGTTCCTCAACAACGTGACGGACCCTTTGTTGAAGGCGTTTGCGCAAACTGTCCATGATTACTGGACTCAGCTTGCCCGTAATACCAATCAGTCTGCTCTTTGTGACGAATATCCCGGCTGGCACGTGCGAGAGCTCGCTCATTCCTCTGAACCATACATTCGTTATTCCCGGTGGTCGCTTTAGAGAACAATGTTCGTGTTTCTCTGTGTCTCTGCTCAGGTGGATATCGATCATATTTGGTGGCTTTCGACAGATTATTGGGACAGCTATTGGATTATTCAGGGTCTACTTCAGTCGGAATTATATGAAACTGTCAACGCGACCTTGCAAAACTTCATGGATGAGATCGCGGGCTTCGGTTTCATTCCGAACGGTGGTCGTATCTATTGTGAGTAGACCATTTTGAATCAGTCAGTGCATCTCATTGTCTGTGGCACAGACTTGAACCGCTCACAACCACCTCTCTTTATTCATGTGAGTTCTGATTAGCATTCTTCGATGTAATCATGACATCAAATCGTGACACAGATGGTATATGACTATGTTAATGTGACTGGAGACACCTCGATTCTACAACGTGCTCTTCCTTTGGCTGAGGTCAGTAGCTTACTGTGTTTGTGGAGTCCGGTTTCTGAATATCTATCCAGGTTGAGCTTGCCTGGTGGGCAAATAATCGTACAATCGAAGTTAAGAGCCCGTACACCAACCAGACGTACATGATGGCCCACTATGCAGTCAACAACACCGCTCCTCGACCCGAATCATATCTCACTGGTGGGTTGTCGTACTGAACCTGATTCCCCTACTTATCTCTCAACGTGCCCATATTTAGATTATCTGACCGTTTATGACCCAACGCTTTCTACACCTCTTACGGATAGTCAGGCTGCCGAGCTTTACAGCGAGCTTGCGTCTGGCGCTGAGACTGGATGGGATTACAGTTCACGCTTTGAGGCTATCCCTCAGCTTGGCAACCCTGGCTTGCGCTCGCTCAATGTGAAGAATAACATCCCAATCTGTCTTAATAGTATTCTGTGTATGTTGGTTTGTTTTGCTGTGCGTTTTTGTTGATGGGAACTTCGGGATGACAGATAAGGCCAGAATACTTCTTGCTGAGCTTTATGGCACGTCCAATGCGACCGCATCTAGCACCCACCTCCAGGTCGCTGCTGGCATTCGTGCGGGTATCCTCGACCTCCTCTGGGAGCCAGCTAAACTGGCTTTTTACGACTTTAACCTGACTTCGAATGCACGCAATGATATATTTACGGCCGCGACTTTCTATCCTGTTTGGAACGGGATCATCCCCAACGAAGTCCTCGCTTCTCAATCCAACGCGTTTGGTTACTTCGCAGCGGTCAATTTGGTGATGAACAAGTACAATGGTTCAGTCCCTGTTACTTTTATCGATTGGACGGGCTTGCAATGGTAACTCTCTACACCTTTTCCATGCAGATCTTATGACACGTGTATTTCAGGGACGCCCCGAACAGTTGGCCTCCACATCAGTACATCATCATGCAGGCACTGCGGGCTATTCCGTCTAATCTTACCACCAACGGGCTGCCTACACCCAGTTCAAATCAGTCTACATATGATCTCATTCCGGCAGGCCAGCTTGACTTTACGGAAGCTCAGCTTCCTGGTCAACCTTTCCTCACAGCACAGGCCAATCAGAACGCAACCGCAACTGGCCCAGCAGCGGACATCAACAAGTTAAGCGGTACTGTTGTTAACGGTGGAAATGCCACTGCGGGCGAAGGGTGGAGGGACACGCTTCAACGCGAGATGGCTAACAGATATTACACTAGCGTGCTCTGCAGTTGGTAAGTGGGATACGCTTGTTCTCCAGTAAAGCAATGCTGAGGCTTCATCAGGCATGCAACTGGTGGTTCGATTCCAGGATTACTGCCTCAGCTCCCAGCTAGCGAGTTAAATCTGACCAACAGCGTTGGTAACACTGGTAACGTCCGTGATTCTCAATCTGATTCTCCAGGCCGCATACTCATGTGCGATGCAGATGTTCGAGAAGTTCTCCAACCTCAACGTCGACTCTTCGGGTTATGGGGTGAATACACTGTCCAGGCTGGATTCGGATGGACGAACGGCGTACTTCTTTGGGTTGCCTCGACATATGGCGAGCAGCTCGTTGCTCCGCAATGCCCACCAATCGTCGCTGCTGCTAACACCGTGGGTGCAGCTGTCGGTCTACGGGCATCGTCTGGGGCCGTAATCGCTGCCGTGGTGATGGCTTTTATGGCATCTGCAATCTTGTAAATGTTGCAGATGCCGATTGTAGGCTCCGAGGTCTAAAACCTCGCGTACATAGAGTATGGCGCAAACCTGTTACACCAGTACACTGTTGTTGTTATTTTGTCTTTGGTGTGTAGAAATCCATCGTAACTCTCACTAGTCACTTTGCAAATATACAACAGCAGCGAGCATGCCAGTTCAGCAAAGGCATTTTTGCCACAGCTTGTTATGCTGCAGTTGTAGAAATCGATACCTTCAGCGGGCTTCGCACCAGATTTCATCAAGTCAATTGCATCATGGCGATTCGGGCACCGGAAGTGCGTCATATAGTAGGAATGTCGTTCTGATTGGGCAAAGTCAGTGCGCCGGAGTCCAGATGTTGAGGATGTCGGACGGGACGGTAAGAGTACGACGTGATGTCGAGACCAGCGAAACATTCTTTGAAATCGGAACCGGAGACTACTGGATGCATGCGGCGATCTACTCGGTAGACAACACGAAAATTGCAATGGGAGGAGGTAACATTATCTGGGATGCCAAGAGGTCAGGCGAGCTGCTATCCACACTCAAACATGACCAAGATGTTTACAGCTGGGAAGTGCAACACTGTTTGTCATAACCGATGATGCAGTGCTGCAAGACGATTGCTGGTAAAAAAGCGGTCAGCTCCCCCGAAAGGACTGAATTTCTGTAAGCAAGCTGTCTCACTAGCAATATGTCACGTGGTTCTAGCAACCGTGACTGATGTAATATGAGGGAGGCACTTCAGTTCACCAGCAATCCAAGTTAGCATTGCCGGACAACCCGTTCTGATTCCAATACTCCGTGCTGCTGCTCGCGTATACCACAGCCGAGACTCTGAGCGTGGATCATGTCTTGCCCGACCAGTAAGATGCAAGTAATCGTGCCCTGCAATAAGTTGCGAGGCCATACTAACGATGTGCGAGGTGTTGTGCACCTGCCTGGGGAACGGCGTATGTTCCGATGATGGCTCGAATTGGACCTGGAGAGTGGCATATAGACTGGCGATATGAGGGGGATGAAGCAGTGAGAACCATAGTGTCATGTCCACAGGACAACGCAGTTGCAAATTGCGGAAGCTCGAATGAAACAATAAATTCGTGGGATGTTGAGACAGAGGAGGCTATCACCAAGTGGATATGGCACACGCAGTTTTCACTGTGTTAGAGCGCAGATGCGTGAACGAATCGTGAGCGGATTCCAGGATGGGACAACAAGGCTCAATCGAGACTGGACACAAATATGTGTGGGCGGTGGTGATGTACTCGGCCGATCACACAAGAGTCAAACTGCATGCCCTCGTGCATGTCTTACGAATGAAGAAGCCCAGACTAGGAAAGGGAAAGGGACTCAGTCTTAGATCAAAAGACCGAGGGAGAATATTTGACAGGGAGAGGAATTAATATGCTGATTGAGACGGAGAATCAAAGGTGAACGTGCATGAGGCGTGTAACATGAGCGGTTTGTGTACCTTGCGCACGTTATACCTGTATCCGAAGCTACCAGTACCGCGTGGTGCTGTCCCGAAGTCAACGACTCATCTTGATCATGGAAAGCACCTATAAGTCGTTATAGAATTTCAGTTTAAATCACTTACGTAGGATACATAGAGATCATAACAGTTTAAGTCTGATTCCATCTGAACCTGACATCGTCAGTTCGCAAATCCGTAACAAGTTTGTTTACGCAAAGCAACCTCTAAGTTACCAGTACTTTGAGAGAAGGAATAAGGGCAACGTATTCCGCTCGCTGCTCATCTGTCATTAATACTTGGAAGCTGAGAGTCAGGCTCTCCAGGGGACACTTTGACCGCATCAAAAATGCCTTGAATTCCTCATGAGGCCATGGGCATATATCGCAAGCTTGGAGAGCGCGCAAATTGGGGAGTGAGAGGGTATCGAATAGGTTAAAATGCTCTGTGTCGTCGTCATAACAATCGTCGGAAATGATCCGTAAGGATTGGAGTTGGGCGTGCGTGAATGGCTCCAGGGCCTCCATGGCTATAAAACATGTAGTTATCGTCAAGGAGGAGAGGCTGGGGCATAAACGGAGCATTTGGGGGAATGCACTTGCTTCGTCTAGGTCGATCTGGATATTTGTGAGGCGGGCCCAGGCGGGATTGAGGGTAGATGCGTACTCCATGTCGAAGAACAGCCCTGTTACCGTGAGACTGCGTAAAGTACATGGCGGCTGCGAGATAGATTGGAGGATGCGAGTTTGAGAATTCAAATGCAATGATATGGTCAGCTCCTCAAGTGCGAGGAAGTCTGATATCATAACCTCAGGTTGGAGGACGTCGTAGGAAAAATTGAGAGACAACGACGAGACTTGATTTATGTAAGGTTGAAGAAGACTTCGTAGCTCAGTCCAGCTGTTTTTGTAACACTGGAGTTCCAACGAGAGCGGACGCCCTCGTAATCGCTTGAGCCATGGCTCATAGCAGCAAGCTGCCCGCTGCCAGTCTTTGCACACATATAGTCCTTGCCACAAACTGGACATATCCACAGCAACCTCCCTCCATCGTCGACATATTCTTGTCAACAGCATAGGAGCTGCCTGTGACACGGGCGACAATCGGTTCGGGAGACAGTGAACAAAAATCTGAGATAGGACTTCGGCTGGCAAGCGCCAGAGAGCTGATACAAGTCGCTTGTGCAAATTCATGGACTGAGTGATCTTGTCCTTCTTCGCGACCAGTTGCTGGTGAATATGGTTGATATCATCTATGATTGTTTCAAAACGTGAGATTTCGTGGGATGTTGCATCCAATCGCTGCTGGCGTTCGGTGATGATGGCACTGATGTTCTGGTAATTGAGGTTGAAGGCAGAGTAGTGCATATTGCTAATAGGATACTGGGTTTCGAGGTCTGGTATCTGGTCATCGCGAATCAATGACATCGATACATGCATTAAACTCAATTAACATACGATTACTTGCGAATGAGCGAGCTGAAGTAAATTGTTTATTGTCATATGCAGACGAGTGCCTATGAAACTGGGTGCTTACGATGTTTTGCAGGACACCAATGATATCCGAGATCGAGGAAAAATTTGCTTTTGAGTTGGCTGTCATAGCATCAGTCGTGTCTGTATGTTGTCGACGGTCGTCTAACGCGAAGGGCATGTGCTTGTAAGGTTCAATATTCAATAGCCCAAGTTCAATATGTTGTTCGAACCTGACAGTGAGTTCCGCTTGAAATTTAAGACGGCTGTCCCCGAAACCCGCTTGTGTAGGCAAATATAATATAGCCCAGACTTCCAGTCAATAACGATGAAACATACGCACGATTCATGGCTCTCGCTGACCAGATAGACAGGATCGAGGACGGACAGCCGGGCCAGACTTTCGAGAAACCATGGGGTACCCTCCAAGGTTTGAAACCTGCCGAACGACAGTCTTTTTTCTATCGGGACAAACCTTAGACTTTACATTCATCATGGAGGGTTTTCTCGGAGGTTCATCTGAACTGGTCTGCAGTGTATATCAGCCAAGTGGTTCCTACAACAGAGTCAGAATCTGCTAAACCTGCCGACAACATTTTTTTTATCGGAACACCCCTCGACTTTCAAATATTCACTCAATTGAAGTCAATTCTCGACAGACGCTTCGTCCCGTCTACCTGAATAGGTTCAATGTCGAGCTTGATTGTGATTAGTTCGCATTTGTTCATGCGAGATTCTATAGCCTTCGATTCCAACAGCCTTCGGAGACAGATATAGCCCAACTTTCTGCTGATCAGGGTTTGATCAGAGTTGGGTTTTTCCAGCTTGGAAGTACGTGTATGCATCGTTTTTTGTCATTCTTTGATTTTCGCAGAGAATATAATTTCTTCTGCAGCTGTTGTTACAGGCTTACAGCTATCCAAGTAAGTCTATCTCCCTTGTCTCCGTCGTGTTCATCTGTACTAGAAAACAATGATCATCATGTTGGCATAGGACTCCGAATCTCGCTCGTCATGAGCATTTGAATGGTGCAACTCTGTGCGTCAAGGTACCAACCATCAATTTTCCCGACTACTTGTATTTGTAGCACAGATTTGAATCAAGTTCGATTATGATTGCAGAATCGGACCGTAGCGGGTTCTGCCGCGAGCGGCCCTGTGCGTTGTAAGAAAATTCTGACATATCGTAACCAAGGCTGTATTCAAAATTGTGAGTGGCGCACGGGTAGGTGTAGGATGTGGCTGATGTACTTAGCATTGTGAATCATGAAAGCATAACCTTGACATCCAACAGGACGGAACTCCATGCAAATCGTTCATGTCGGTGTAATGATGAGACACTACATAAGGTTTGATATCATCCAGAGTCGGACACACGGCGTGTTGCAAGGTGCGCGACTGTAGGGGAGAGAGGGCCAATCGACGAAAGAGTGACAAACAATAGTATAGTTTAGTATACAGAGGAATCACAATCAGAACCACCATGTTACAGCTTCGCTTTTGGTTTCGTCCGCATCTCCCTAGCCTTGTCTCTCAGCACCCTCCTCAAAAGTTTACCACTTGGGTTTTTCGGGATAACATCAATGATCTCGACACCCCCAGCGAGCTTCTTGTAGCCAATTTTATTATCAGCAACGTGCTGTGAAGTCGAAACGTAAGCACTGCACGCTCCCTAATGTTTCGAAGCGCTTACCTTCATAATGGACGCCTTGATCTCGTCCGCAGCCGACGGACTGTCTTTGACACGTTTGGTGGCCTCAGGGCGGAGAGTGACGAACGCCAGTGGTAATTCACCACTATATTCATCTTGTATTCCGACCACACACGTATCAGTCACGTCGGGGTGGTCCAGAATGCACCCTTCGAGTTCGGCAGGTGCGACCTGAAATCCACGGACCTTCAACATTTCCTGTAGGGGTACTCAGTCAGGTGAGATAGTGGACTAAGGTCAATCACCCAACCTTTAACCGGTCAAGGACTACGATTTCGCCCTTGCGGTTCATCGTCACCTCATCACCGGTACGAAGCCATCTGAAATGGAACATCAGTCACCAGTTAATTGAAGACCTGCCCATTCACCCATTTACAAAGGTTTCCTTCGTTCTGATCATGTTGAAGTTAATACGTGAGTGGTACAAGGAAGATGATCTCATACGCTTCAAGGTTGTTTGCATAACCAAGCGCAAGCGCCTGCGTCTTTACGATAAGCTCGCCAGGTTCGTCAAAGTCGGCAAGGGTGCCATCTGGTTTCTCTACGCGGGCGATAATACCAGGAAGGAGCTGGCCAGTACCACCGCTCAAGTCACGTCTCTTATCCAGTGCCCAGCTGCTTATAACAGGCCCCGTTTCGGTAAGGCCTGTGACCGCTGGGATGAGATATGGACACACATCATCCAGAGATGGACTTACCGTAGCTCTGCCCAAGGTCGGCGTTTGGGAATATTCGAACAAGCTGCTCCATTACCTCACGAGACAGGGGTGCAGCGCCCGAGGTGACGTATCGGATATGACTAAAATCGTAACTCTTGACAGCTGGATGCTAAAGGGCAAAAGCAGATAGGTGAGACCTGATCATTCCAGAATTACGACCTACCGACCTTGCATAATAGTACAAGTTGTGGGGGGACCAACCTTAAGTCTTGTTCAGTTGGGGTCAAAGAAAGCCAAGGACGACGTACATAAGATGGGTGATGTGGTGCCTAATTATACTCTTCAAAAAGTCCAGAAAGTCATATTTCGCTGTTAAGACAACCGTCATCTGGATGTGCTCCAGTCAGTGTACAACTGCAGATTCGGAGGTATATCGACGCACTCCGCAGAAAAAGGCAAAATGTGCCTAGCAGATATTCAGCAACGAAACAACCAAATTGAACTAAGCTCGTACATTGAACACTAGTCCATAGATATCTGGAAATAGCTGGTTCAACAACAACATAACAACGCTGTAAGAATGGTTATTGCTCACGGTATAAAGGAAGCACTGCGCAGTTAATCAAGCCGAGCCCTTCGGATAAACAGCAACCCACTCACCGGCACAGCAAACGTCACCAGGTTTAAATCTTTGTTCGGCATATTCCTTGCCAACTTTATGGTGCGTGGCAAGCTGAATGACATTTGCAATCGGCGAATAGTGGGGTATTGCAACGGCCTGATGTATAGCATGTGCAACTTACATCGACATGCAGGTCCTCGTGAAATACGCGCTCACCTTCGGGCGACCAGTCGTCCCGCTTGAAAAATTCAGAAAGGCCACCTTAGTTTTCCCTTCACCAGGAGCAAGTTTCCGTTCTATGAAGTTCGGAGCACTCGCAAGACCTTGCGAAATCAAAGCTTGCAAAGTCAATCTCTGCGCAGTGTCCGCATCCTCAACGTCAAAAAGAATGATGCGATCCGCAGATACACCAGCGGCATGTGCAGACGACAAGGCCACCTTGAGCGAGTCTGGGTGCGTGATGATGACGGCTGCTTTCACTGTACTGACTTGATACACGAGTTCGTCAACTGTGAATAGCGGGTTGGCACCGCTTGTGGGCATGTTTCAGAATGTTTTAGGCAACTTAGAGGAATTGGGCATACGATACGGCAGCACCAAGTTTGTGAGCTGCCCAAGTAGCCACAAGGTAATCTGTGGAATTCATACTATCAGCCAAAATATACACTGTATGTGACGAAGCCAGCTCGCATACCAATATGATTTGGACTGTAGATCAACACTATCAGGTACGCAGAATGAAGGAATCATCAATACTGCGAGTGCTTGAATTATAGTGTCATTACCAACATCATCCTCCTCTGCGCGCCAGAGGAGTAAGTACCAGTCAGTACCATGAAAACGCAGAGAACGTACGGATGTTATAGCGGATACTCAACGCATTAGCCAGACCATACGTCCGAGCTCTGAGCTGTGAAGTATACGATCAGCCATGGTAACCATAGACCAGCCACACCAACTTTTGCGCATTACCCCGCAAAACGCTCACCTCCTCAAGCCCAATCTTTCTCCCACTCTGATCATCAACAATCCAGGCACCATTCTTACGAATGGGCCTCCTGACATGCTCCGCATCCAATACGAACTGCGCAAGCGTGAGGTCGTCGGGTATGCGAGGGAGGATTCCTGAGGGCGACACGAGTTCAGCCATTCTATATCCCTATTCACCCGGACCAATTGAAAAGGCAAGAACGACGAACAAAAGCAAGGAACGCTCTGTAATATCTCACATGATGCTTGTTTCTATAAGTACGTCAACATCAATTCATATCTTATCTTCGTCCTTTTTCGTCACTGATTACACCATCGCTCGCCCAAAACCTATTGAGGTGTGGCAAACCAGGGCCAACCTGCCTGGTCGAATGATATTCACTGAAATTCATAAGTATGGTTTTCTCACCAGTATTGCTGTCGGTTTGAAATTAAGGCTTGTTCTGAATTTTAATGTGATAACAGAATTTATTGGTTATAAGAGACATCCCAGGGTAGGGCATCAGCGCTTCAGCCACGCCCGGAGATATCCAATGAATTTGTGGGAAGGCCTGGGGCGTCACGCATCCGCGTCACCTACACTTTGGTCACCCCATTTCAGGTACCTCTTAGGTTGTATTATACCTATAGAGGTTTTCACCTAGGGGGTACTTTTCAGGTGGTCTGGCCATGTTTGTATGGTCTTTCCCCAAGTGTATAGGGTCCAAAATGAAATGTATTGAGCATGGTCCAGGGGTCAAAATAATTTTTGCATGGGAAAGACTGCCAGCCAACTTTAGACCACACATACATTGGGAATTCCCATGGTGCAGGGGTGTCAGGGGTCCTATTATGACCAAAAGTTTTGGGCAAAATTTTTTGAAAATTGTGGTTTTTTTTTGGCCCTCTCACCCACCTCAGGCAGCACCTCTTGGTGGAAATAAAGGGTCCTGCAGACCTGGTTTCTATATTATGGCAACAGGACCTGACCTCTCTATGGCCTATCAATATATTTCATCTTTAATGATCCCCAGTGATGTGAAAAGGAGGTAGAGTGTGCAGGGTTTCTGAGCAGATCTGATAGGCAAATCATCAGGGAAGACTAGGGGTGAGCAAGATAATATGGGATATGGATATGTATCACCAAGTGATTTGTATGAGGCAGGAACAATAGAACCATCTCAAGGCATCTGGCATGACAGTTGAACTTTGAAATGAGACTTATATTTGGGGAAGGGAAAGAGGCAAAATAATAAGCAGATCTGAGGTAGCAGAAAATAAAGCTACATAAAGTGTCTTCCATACCTCACATCCAACTCTGAGAAAGAAAAATGTAGAGCTGTGAGAGTGAGATAGTGAGATCAAGCCAATATGCTTGTGAGGTATCAAACATGAAGACATAGAATATACATTGAAACCATTTAGAGAGTCACCAGGGGAAAGCTAACATGCCTGTGAGGTATTGAGTGTCAAACACAAGGACATAGAATATAAATTGAAACCATTTAGAGAGTCACTGGGGAAAGCCAACATGCTTGTGAGATATTGAGCGTCAAACACAAGGACATAGACTATAAGTTGAAACCATTAAAAAGTGACTGGAGGAAGGACCACAGAGGATGGGAAAGACCACATAGAGATATGGGAAGACCCAAGGTAAATAAGAAAGGATTGTAGGGAAGGACCATAGTGAGTGGGAAAGGACCATATAGACATATGGGAAGGACCGCATTGAATAAGAAAGGACCATATAAACATGTGGGACAGACCACAGTGGACGGGAAATGGCCATAGTGACATATGGGAAGGACTGTGGTGAATAAAAAAGGACTGTAGACATATGTGGGAAGGACCATGGGGGATGGGAAATGGCCATAGAGACATATGGGAAGGACCATGGTGAATAAAAAAGGACTGTAGACACATGTGGGAAGGACCATGGGGGATGGGAAATGGCCATAGAGACATATGGGAAGGACCATGAGGGATGGGACATAGCCATAGAGACATATGGGATGGACCACGGTGAATAAAAAAGGACTATAGACATATGTGGGAAGGATCATGGGGGATGGGAAATGGCTATAGGGACATATGGGAAGGACCACAGTGAATGGGAAAGGACAATACCACATTTCAATAAATTCACATAATCATTATCATCAAGTTCATCATTGCTGAAACAGCATAGCCTACAGTAGCACTCAAGCAAGACAAAACTTTGAAACCTTTGGTTGAAATTCCTAGGAATGTGTCTACTTTCTATCCCTCAGAATTTATGCTTGTTACAGCCCCTCAACTAAAATCCAACTTCTGTGTGCAACTAGGCTTATGTATTTAGTTGTCTATCAAAAGATCAGGCAAGCTGTATGGCAGGGATTAGACAACTAGTAATGTCAGAAAAGTTGGAAGAGATTCAGGAGATTATGTGACACAGTTCAGGTAAAATTTAGCAGCTAAACTCACACCAAATTTTGGAGTCTGATGCTTGAAAACCATAATAATAGATTGAATAATTAAATCTATTAAAATCCTTGAACACCTAATTTGAGTTGAGCAAACACAAAATTCTCACTTCAAGTTCCAAGCAAATGAAATGGATAGAGCATAAGTGTAGGCATGTATCATGAGTAACTCTGAATCATGAGCGACAAGAAAAGCATACAAAAAGCATACAAAAAGCATATAAGAAACATGTGAAAAACATAAGAAAAGGACAGCATGATATAACATGATTAGTAGATATTACTGAAAGTGGGCGTGAGCAAGGGCTGCGCAGTTAGTAATACTCATCTTCATCTTCTTTGATGATTACATGGCAATCAGGAGATGCAAGGCAAATATGCAAAGGTCTGACAGTTGAATGATTGTGGCACTGTGAGGAACCAGTGCGAGAAGTTGGCACAAGGGAGGAATGTGACAGTAGCCAAGAACAGGAGGTGCTGGCAATTGGTGCAGAACTTACATGTGCCTGTGATTGGGCATGGCCTAAAGGTATATGAGAACTAATACAATAGGGTGACAATTAGCAAAAATGTTTAAAAGTCAGGGTATAGCAACACACTTCTCATGGACCCTGACATGGTGCCTCTCCTCCATTGTTTCATGCTCCAGGTCTTCGGTCTCCCGAGCAGATTCATAATGGGGCTGTGTCCGTTTGCAAGTGTCTGGGTTATATGTCAGCATAGAATCATCAAATGCACATTGATATCAATGTGGTCCATCATGTGAATGCTCATATTGAGAGTGAGAGGGATATATCGCGTCCCCGATGTGCAGATAACCCAGGGTTGACATAGGAGTTGATGCATGTGAAATAGGAGGGGGAGACGAAAACTGGGAAGATGGTGTTGGTGGTGATGAAGGCGGGAAATTATCATAGATGGCTCGGTTAGTATGGCGATGAGAGCGCGAAGCTTCAAGGTTGAAGTGTGAAGCTTCCTGATTGGAGCATGAAGCTCTCATAGTTGAGTGCAAAGCTCCCATAGTTGAGTGCAAAGCTTCCTGATTGGAGCGCGAAGCTGTTAGATTAGACACTGCAGGTTTTTTGATTACCTGTTTGGTGCGGTGTCTAGGAGTGTCATCTTGGGTGTTGTCTTGCAGAAGATCCTTGATGAACTTCTCTGAGTCTTGGAGGGAGCGAACAACTTTGCTGTTAGTGTCGATGACAAGTGGGATGAGGCACATGCTTGTGGCCTGTGTCTCAACAGTAAGGATATCACCTGTAGTCGTTATATCAGCTCATGTATATTTAAAGCAGCCAAAAACATACTTTCAGGCCATCTGCTGATATGCAAGATGACACTTGGCTCCTCCACCACTGCCCCCTTCTTCCTTCCTTTGTCACCCAACTTCTTGGACTTGCCTTTGCGCTTCTTTGCCTTTGCTGCCTCCACCTTGCTATTGTTGTTGTCGTTATCAAGACCTAACTCAGCCTCAGTACATCACTCCAAGATGGAGCCTGAGATACAGAGCTACCAAAGCATGTAGTTGACTTGCAGATAGAGCCTTTAGATCAAAATCTGGGCCAGGCAGGGGAACACCAGTGGGCCAGTCGTGAATGCAAAGCTTCTCGGTATACAGGATGTCCAACATGGTCAGCCACCTGCTATTGGAGGTTTTGAGTGGATGACCGGCCTCAGCTACCCAGTATTTAGTCAGTAGATTAGAAGGATAATCCAGTAAGAAACCTACCAAACATCTCACTAATCATCATGGGCGCGACCTTTCTATTCCTATCCCTGGCAGGCTTGCCGTTGCACAAAAGGCTACCATTTGGAGCAGTGGAAGAGGCAGGGAGTAAGCTGAAAGTCTTGCCTTCAGCATGCGCAGCTTCCAAGTCTTTGTACCTGAAAGTAAATTTAGCACCGACCCCTATAATCAACAGAAGACATACTTAAGGATTGTGGTGAGCTCATCTAACCAATGCTTAATATCAAGTTGGTGTGAATTGATAAGGGCTTTGACCATGTCAGAGCTGGCAAACAGCCCTGATGCCTGACAGCCTGCCTCTTCATCACTGGGAAATATTGCAACACCTGGCAATGTGAATGCCATGGGTGCAATGCCAGTATGTAGCCTTGATAGTAGTTAGTCTTTGGATTGAGGTTGGATGAATGCCACACTTACTGATTTTGTGAAAGCATCACGAACACCCATCATAAGACCTGCAGCAGAATGTGATGTTAGGTCCTCAGTTGTACCTGCAACAGCACAATCCCAGTTTTCCTGTATCTCCTTCCACAACAATGCATGCTGAGGGTCATCCTGTGGGTGGGCTTCGTAATGAGCTCACTGCTTCATCTTTCAAGCCTTGATGTCCTCTGCAAAAGTGATTAGGACTAAGTAGAATAATTGTGAGGATGGTGACACACCTGGCAAGACAACTCCTGATACTCCTTTAGGCAGGGGATGGGTAGCTGCGAACCACATGTCTGGTGTTGGTTCCATGGAGACTCCTTGCGGGTAGCCTTCATAGTCAACCCTAGCCTTGATAAGGATTGTCCACGCACTCTTCCCATATTCTTGACCCAGTGTTCTAGCAGCTTCCAATGTCTTCTTCCCAAGCTCTTGCACCTTTAAGATGCCTACTTGGGGCATTCTTCCTTTGGTCTTCACAAAGTCTTCATCATCCTCATCTTTGCTTCCGTGATGTTCATCGACCTCAACTGTTACCTTGAGCTTTTGCTTTTGCTTGGCCATCAATTGCGGTGGAGATGGGGGATCAGCTTCAGAGGAAGCCTCATCATCTTCACCATGATTCGCAGCAATATCATGATCAGCAGTCTGTTGCGCTTTCTTCCGCTGTGCTTCGTCAACAGCCCAGTCACTGATGGATGGAGAGCTCTCTTCACCGGCACTGCAATCAGGTGCATATGACTCGATGCCACCTGACCTATGTGGGCGGCTGTTAGTAGAAGTAGCTGTATTCAGTATTAATTGAGTTATGAAATATGAAAATTGTTCAAGACTTACCTGAAGTTTTGTGGCCATCATCATTCCTGCCTTCCTCTGGGTAGCGTGACTCGGTAGAGGTACCTGTATTTACTATTAGTTAAGCTATTAAATATGAAAGAATTGACTGACCTGAAGTATCCTTGCCATGATCCTTGTTGCTATACCCTGCATCATGGGACTCAGTACAAGTAGCTACATTACTATTGGTTGAGTTATGAAATATGAAAGAGTGAATATGTCTCACCTGAAGTCCCCTGGTCATTGACATTCCTACCATTGAGATCATTTGTCTGACTTTGAGAGATAGCATTCGGATTCTTGCTTGCAGTAGTGGCGTGTTCTCCAGTAACAGGTGTAGGAGCTGGCAAATGACAAGTTAAGACAGGACGTTCATACCATAATAAAATGCTTGCCTGATTCTACATCGCCTTCTTGGATGTCAGCAGATACTTCTTCATCTGCAAGGAGGCAAAATTTGGCACATGTTAACGAAGTGCCATCAGCAAGTTGAACATGAGATGGGTGGGATTGCTGATCAATAGCAATGTCAGAAGTTGCTGGAATCATTGATGAGCGCCTTGAGAAACTAGCCTCAAAAATCTCCTCTTCAGTGGATGAAGTCATGGGGCCTGAATGCTTGGACCATGCAAGCGGACAAGGCTTGGGTGGAGGACGAATAGACAGCTAAGAGGTCTGTGGATATCAACACATGGCAATCACAACTTACCTCTGGATGGTTGTTGCCATGGTTGATAACACTCTTGGGGCCAGCACAACGGTGGGGGCAGGGGCAAGACCGTTTTGGAGGTTCGAGGGCCTAAAATAATGGGAAATCAACCATGATGGACAAGGCTTGAATCAAGAAGACTTGCCTTGACATTATCCGCATTGGACGCCTTCCTGTGAGTCTTGACATGATAGAGGAGTCAGCTGCTGAAGACATCAAGGAAGGAAAGAAAAAATACCTTGGGTTGATCAGGCAGAGGTGGGCGCCTGATGTGACAGCCTGAGTGGGTAGTAATGGCAGGCATTTTCAAGAGAAATGATAGTGTTCTTACGATTGCGGAGATACATGGAACACAAGTTGAGAACTCGAAGTTTTCTCAACAATGTTTGACTGACATGAAGTCAGACAATGTAAGGATAAGTAAGAGAGCAAACTGAAAACAATATTGGTTTGAGAGGGTAGAATTTGATGTGCTCAAATTGAGACTCATTACCTTTATATTTGAAAATGATGGGTGTTGTTGCGATTATTGCTACTAGTAGTGGGGCACAGCCCTGAAGCTAAACATGGTTAGCAGTAAAGAATGAAACCATAATTGCAATAGCAACCTTGGCCATACTGTAGGTCGGGGGTAGTGGCTACATACAATGCCAGACCCCTTACAAGTGACTAAAAGAAGAAAATTATGATCAATCAATTAAGTCAGAGACCTAGCTAGGAAATCTAACTGTTTTGAGAACTTACGTTTTTGAGAAATGATAAGAATCTCAGCTGGTAGGTCACTGTATCATATAGTTAGAGAAACATCCAGGCCTGCTGATTGCTTAAGAACAAGTCAGACACCTAAAAGTATATGTACCTGAGCACCAGGCATTAGCAAATGAATGTTGAGAGATGAGAAGGCTGCTCGTTTCCTAAAAAAGAAGTCAGGACGTTACAGTATATCATCAAGAGCATAAGGTACATGTAGATTTCGGCCAGTAGATGAGGGATTAAGTGTGAGGTGGCTGCTCCAAATACTAGCATGGCCAAGGTGTGAGGTACACATTTGACCATCTGGGCAGAAGGTTAGTGTTCATGGAGGTGAAAAGATAAGGTGAGAATACTCACTTCATGGGCCCACCGCAGTGCTTTCATCTCTTGTTGCATACCGTGCTTACTATGGAATTCATGTGCAATCCATTCCTCTAGCAGGTGTTCTTTGATCTGGTCATCGGGGAATCAGTCTGTGAGGTCACCGATAAGGCCAAAGGAGAGTTTCGCAATAGAGTTGGATCTCCCTTGTCTGCTAGACATTGATGGACAAGCTCGAGGATGGCACATAAGGGAGTAGTGCAGGTGCTAGGGACAATTGTGAGTGGCGAGATGAATCTACAAGAAAAATGCAAACCTTTCTCAGTATTCTTGAATGCAGTGACAACTACAGTGTATGTCTCTAGAATTCCTTCCCATAGTTGAGCAACATATTCTATGAGATCAAATTTGAGCTAATGAGTACCAGTTAGCCCTGACACGTTCAGAAATACATAATCCAGCTCACAGGGTTGGGTTGCACAGAGAGTGTTTGTCTGAGATGATTTGAAGACCGGCCTACTGTGACGCAGGTACTTGGAATACTGATTGGATGAGGTCAAAAACAGAGGTATCCTATGTTGTTGTCTATGCGTTTATTGCAAGTGAATAAATAAAGTAAATGCACTCACCAATGACTGAAGTCTTCAACGAATTGCCAAATAGCCACTGGGTAATTTCAATAGAAGTCATATCCTGTGTTGAAGTGTGAATGAGCATGTTGCTAAGCAAATGAAGTGTAGACATGGCTCACCAATGCTGTAGATAAACATATATGATTCAATGTGAGATTGGAAAGCGTTGACATGAAGTGACGAGTGCCAGAGTCAAGTGTGATGGGCATCAGGAGATGTTATGATGGAAATATATTGAAAACTCACAGATTACACTGACTAGTGAAATGTGAATCAACAGACAAGCGAAATAGCACACCCAAGAGGGTCTTCAACCCCACTGGTGCAGCAATGTGTGAGCAACTGAGGCGACCCTCCAGACACAAAGTCTAGGAGTGGAAGATCAGCGATGCAAAGTCAACTAATCAATGAGCGAACGGCACGAAGCCAGTTCAAAAGTGCCAGGAGCTGTTGGAAGATCAATTGAGGACAGGAAAAGCATAATTGAGGATGGGGAAAGCATAATCAAGGGTGGGAATAGTATAGAGGATGGAGTGACAATGTTATCGATGCTGGTCTGTGTCCAGTATGAAACTGTGACATGTTGCATTGTGGGACTTTCCCACAGGTTCACAAACTTTGACAAATGAAACTGTGATTTGGGAAATTCCCACAGCTTTATTTCTTGTCTATTTCCTTCTCTGTATTCCCTTCCCCTAGTTCCTTTCAAGTTCTTTCCTTACCATCAGTTCCCAACTTTGAGTGGTCCTTTGTCACTCAGCACTCAACTCATCAGCTACACTTGTCAACCTCATCACTACAATTGGTCACTCAAAGGTCCCTGTGCTTTTGAACTGCTTCAGTGCTGTTCACTCATTGATTAGTTGACTTTGCATTGCTGATCTTCCACTCATAGACTTTGTGTCTAGAGGGTCGCCCCAGTTGCTCACACATGTTGCTGTGCCAGTGGGGTTGAAGACCCTCTTTGGTGTGCTTAGTCTTGTATCTTGTTATTTCTGGTGTGCACACACACTCCTGCAGACCTTCTCTGATTTGTCAGGTATGCCAATCATTTCACATTTCACTCTCAGGTCTAATCAGTGAGTTCTGATACATTTCATCTATCATAACATCTCATGATACTCAATTTTAACTTCACACACTATAGTACTTGTTACTTTAGATACTGTTACATCATGGGTACTTCACTTCTCTTTCTACTTGTTACTGACCGCACTTAGATATTAGGCTAACGCCCTTCTATATCTGTATTACAGCATGATCGCCACGTGCCGTCATTAGCTGACTCATATTCCTTATCTCTGACTCGACCATGATGTCACTAGCTGACTCATGTCCCTTATCTCTGACTCGACCATGATGTCGGTGTACCTGCCCTAAACATACCTACACCTATATAAACTCGGTCGTGTACCTAGATAAACTTCACTTTAATCTACTAGGTTTTACCTGCATTATCCTTCGCTTAGGACCCCCAATCCTAAGTCATCTGATAACCGATATTCAAGCCAGAGACACTCTCTTTGACTTGTCTTAAAAGAACCTTACATTTGTGAGGACACAAACTGGCTTTAGGCGTACTCTTATCGAGTACCTATCGTCGAGCCCATCCTAGTTGACCTACGGTTTACCATAACAGATACGTCTTCTTTTTTTTGGTAAGTGCCCTTTCCTTTACCTCACTAACTGTATATTGAACGGTGTAGACTCTCATAATACAAATCAAACTCTTGAGGTGTGTTTTTCTTGTGCCTGTTATCGCACCTCCTAAACTTTGCAGTTTTTCATCATGCCCAACACTTTGACAATGTTCAAGGCTGATCCAAACCTTCATGCATGTATGTGATGCTCCTCACTTAATGTTTCAACTTACTTATGTGCATGCATACCACAGCATGGTTGCAATCTTTTGATGCCTATGCAGTCACTGTCCAGGGCAATTTGGTCATCACCATGCCCAACATGGACTTCATCCCTCAGTTCCACCATTTCGAGGAAGAAAACATACAAGCATGTGCCAATGGGCATTTCAGTGTTGTCAACTACTTTCAATGGCCTCAAGCCTATGACAACATCTTTTGCAATTCTGTCTGCATTCCCTGTAAGGAGCTCTACCCATTCCTGCACCTGCTTCACTGGGCATGGTTCACCCCCGACCAAAAGGACTTCAAGGCCATTGCAGGCAACTCATTTCCTGTAGGCACATTAGCTTCTGACAAGGTCAAAGGATTGGAGTCACTCCTGAAAATGGCAGACAAGCGTGTCCAGGACTGGAGGGCCAATCGACAAGGCAAAAATGACATCATCATCAATCACATTGCATCTCTTCAACACAGTATCTCACGGCTCAAGAAACATCCCTTAACCTTTTGCAATCTCCTCATCTTCGTCACAGATGCCCAACACCTATTCCTTGAAATTTACTCCTTCATGGATTGGGTTCTCATCACCCAACCTCGCATCTCCTCCGGCATGGGAGCCAACACTGTCAATTCAGCCTGGATTGGCGCTTTCATGCATGACAGTGACATGTGCAACAAGCTCCACATGGCTGGCATCCCTAGTCTGGTATGTCTGTACAATGGCATACATACCTGCTAATATGAAGGTGATGAAACCCGTATTAATCACGCATCTGGATGACATCATCATCTCAATGTATGCAGAGGGCAATAAAATCCGCCCCTACGACATCATCTATTGTGGTCAAGGTGGCCACCAGCATCAGCTTCACGTTCGCCACCTATATGGTGGCACAACTTTCAAAAATCCCGATGGGCTGGTTGCTTCAGCAAGCAGTTTCTCTATGCCCAGTTCTTCTACACCTGCATCATGCTCTAAGCCATCTGCTGCTGGAAAGGCCCCTCAAAAAAGTCAGAAAAAGCATAGGCGACAACCTTGTAGGTGAACCTATTCTAATTGGTTACATTACTTACTACTGTATCAGATGCGAGAAAGGCTCAGCCCACCCAACTGTCCCAGTCAGGCGAATCCAGGGACAAGTGGAAAGACCCTGAAAGCCCATATCTTCTGCCGTCTATCTTACATTGGGATGATGCCCTCAAAACTTGCACAAAGGATCCGTCTTGTGTGTATATGCCCTATGCGATTGATCAGGGATACAGATTCCCCGAACCTGCTCTTCTCCTTGGTCCAAAGCTACTGGAGCACCTGCAAGGTTATATTGCCACCTGGCTCGCTTGTCATCCATTATGGATTGGCTGAGTCGATCACGACCCACCATGCAATTACCCTTTGCCACAGCTCTGGCGTGACTTCCTCAGCAGCAGATTGACAACCCAATCACAAGGTGCTGCGCCCAAAGGCAAAGATCCCAAAAAGAAGGGTCTTATGGTGGTGGAGAAGCGAAAGGCAGTGATGAGGGACTTTTTTGGTGACGATGTGTTGGAGACTCATGGAGATTTGTTTGCACCAGAAGGATCGGTGGAGTTTCGCAGTGAACAAGTGTCAGTTGCCAGTCTCGCTAACCCTCCACGCTGTCTTGCCCAAAGGATTACATGGGAGTTATATGAGCTCAGTTTCCATTATGAACTGAGGGATCTTGATCACCACTTAGTCCATAAATGCTGGGCAGATGATCTGACCAGTTGTGAGCAACTCCTTCATTCCATATTTCCAGGCAAGGCTGGTTTGGTCATGTGGTCAGAGCCATTTCCAGGGGATAACTACGGCATGTGGAATAACACCTTAATTGGTGTTCTGCCTTACCTGGAAAAATTCTGGGAACTCCTCTGTGCTTGGAACAATGTCCCACTGCTTCTGGTTGTGCCTCTGACCCCAGAAAACTTCACCGATACCAAGTGTTGGGAAGTCATGCATGCTGCGACCGCCTTTTATGTGCAGACATTCTTTTGTCATTTTGGCAGGCCCCCCATCGTTCCTCATTCCCTCCCTTCATAATTGATATCATATTTGTACTACGCACTTATTCCTTTGCATTTTACGTTTCTTCTATAAATGACAATTGTACTACTTTCCATTACTTACTACATGTCAGATAAGGTTATATTTTGTGTTCATAAGCAGCATACCTTGCAATGTTTGCTAGTCCCAATTTAGTGGCACGGTGAGTGATCCTTCAGCTACATCAGATCTGATATATTTTTGTAGGCACATTATTCCCAAGTCATAGCCAGTGACTGATGTCATTCTGCTATTGTATTTTTGATATCCATTTTTTCTTGTACTAGATACTTACATCATCCTGTCTTCCTTATCCCCACAGCCATCTATCCATCTATTCATTTATGCGAATCAGGTTTGTATTTTCAGAAAATTGTGTCAATGCTGTCTCTGAACATCGTGGCAGGCTATACTATCCTTGTACTGGTATGAACATCATCCTATCTTCCTATTGTGTCAATGCCATCTCTGAACATTGTGGCAGGCTATACTATTCTTGTACTAATTCTTGTACTAATATAAACATCATCCCAACCATCGCATTCACCGTATGTGAATCTGTGTATGTTTCTTTGCTCACATTTATACTGATACCTACCTTATGATACTTATGGCAGAATGCTAGAAAGCGTCCACTGATCAGATGTCAAGTTCCTTCAAAAACTTTATCTATTTAGTAAGTTTTTTCTTTAATGTCACGTTATCCCTGATTAAGTCCTACAGTCTGCCTGTCACTCAAATCCTCAGTACTAATTCCCCTCAGATTGATTCCCCTTTGTACTCTCCCGGACTGCACGCCCGTGGACAGCTCCTCCAACTGACTCTGCGTTGTTGGTGGCCCTCCATGTGACTTCGAGTCCACAGCGTTCATTATGGCTGTTCATCATCCAAAACCTCACCACCATGAGGCATCAACCTCCCTTGTGCAAGAAAAATCCCCTTCAATTCTGCAGCCAGTCACAATCATCTGTGAGCCTTGGATGAACACGGCATGGCAATGTCCTCATCAAACTAGACAGCTCAACCTATATCTTCCTGCCCCACCTCCTGTGTTGGTGCTGCCCAGATACCAATGCCTCATGCAGCAAAATTTTTGCTGTCCACCGTCTGTGTCCAGAACATCAGCACTGCAAGAAAATACCATGGACGAAGGTCTCTTCAGTGACTCCCTACATTTCTCCAATGGTCCTATCACTCATCATCTCACCAGCTCACAAAAAAGGGCCAACCAGTGGCGCAGATGGTCACAAGATGTCATTCCTTCCCTTCTTATACCATACCAATCCTACATTCAGCTAATTTCAGCACTACATTATACCAATGCGCCAGGACAACCTCAGCAAGATCTTGGAGTTTGCAGAGCTGGATGTAGGACTCGGAGCATTACAGTTGCATGTGTGCACTTTGACTGTATGCTATTTGTCACTCTTCTACCAAATCTATCTCATGTACACTCCAGTATTGAAAGAAATTGACATCATCGCATGCCCTTGTTTCCCTGCCCCCCTCCAGCTCCTCTGTTGCAGTCTGTTTCCATGCGCTCCTGTTGCTCCCTCACTCGCAGTGGACTTGCGCATTTTAGAGTTTGTCTGTCTGCTCTTTGTATGCCAGTCTCCCAACCAAACCACATGGTGTGTTGTGGTGGAAATTTTTCTAGATGGAATGGGATACAAGCTGTTGTGCAAGGTTAGCTTTTCAAATTCTCATGTGTGCAGCAATGCTTGGTCTTGGATCAGAATAACTTGTGTCGTCATTTTGGCAATGCTTTTCACTGGTACCAAGTACTGACCATCATGGCTCACAATCACATTTCCACTCTCATCACCAACGTTCAAAAGGGCCAGGCACGTCTCCCACCAATTGATAAGCCCAGTGAATACCTTTAATCTCGTTGTCTGCTTTGTTTCGGAGGAAATACTTACCACAGATCAGATTCTCATTCTATGTAAGTCTGTCTCAGCTCGTACTGTACTGTGATTAATTGGTGACACCAGCCCAGACGTTATTGTTTGCATAGATGCTTGTTTTACCCAAAAATGTTTGACTAATCCTCACAGGTGCTGACACTATTAACCCTCCTAATCCAACTCCAACATTCTTTCTATTGAATGACGATGTCAAAGCAATGGAGGATTTTGTACAGAGTTGTCGTGGAGAGAGACGTCGAGTATGGGTCTCTAGAGCAGAAGGTAACGAGGATCACTATGAAGAAGGGATGCGTGTGCCAGTGTCTGTGTTGAACAGATGCAGAGAATCCTTTGTAGCTGCAGATGAAAAGCATGAAAAGGCAAGCACTCATTTTTTTACTGACACAGGCCTGATGGCCCTGCTATGTAGACATGACCATGTCCTCTGGCTTGCCAACCTCACATCAGCGGGAGAAAAGCAACACTATGCGCTCGCTCTCTTGGACTGCTTGTTCAAGCATTTGCCCCCTCAAATGACTATAGGACTTCTCTACAACATTGTGTGTCAACTTGAACAAAGTTGCCAAAAGTGGAAATTCCTGGATGACAACACTCTATCACGCATATCCTTTGCCGTTGCAGTATTCCATGCGTATGGCCACCAATGGCCCTGTCAAATTGTCTATCACCCAAGGAAGCATGAGGGTTTTGGGCTGTCTGACGGTGAGGGTTGCGAACGACTGTGGAGTTCACTTATGCAACTCATCCCATCATTATGGGTTTCTGGAGTAAGTCTACATTCACATAATATATATCACATTTCTAACTCTACTGTAGTTCTATCAATGTCTTTTCATCCTCAATGTTCAGGTTCACCACCTGGATACAAAATCCATCCAAGGCTATGGGCATTGGCTTCACCGGCGATGGATCCATTGCCAGACAAAGAAGAATGCGGCTCTGGACAGTTTACTCGACTTAGACATCGATGAAGATATGCTTCATGCTGAGTGGAAGGTGCAAATTGCTCACCAGACACGACCCACCCCACATAAGATTTTAAGTAGTGCTCTCACTGCCTTACTAATTATATTGTGTAGGGCAATCCAAAAACAAAGCAGCAGAGGTCATTACAACTATCCTTGCACTGGAGAAGACCCTGGATGCTTACGAGACTTCTGTCCGTGAGCTAGAAATGCAGCTTTATGTAGGCAGTGTTTCTAATATTGCAGAGCTTAATTTGCAGCTCTCTGATGCTCAGTCATGATGTGCCAAAACCACTGATACCCTTCAATGTCGTAAAGCTGCTCTTGAAACACAAGCAAAGGCTAATCTTGAGAAGATGAAGAACAATACTTATCTGACAGTCTGCTTGAATGCTCATGCAGTAAAAATTCATATTTGGGACCGTCTCCATCAATGCAAGTTTGAATTAGAGAGGCTGGAGAGATCGTATCAAGCTACAGTTAATGGTATGTTAATGCTACTTGACTTCACTTTCAGCATGTCTCATGTATTTTCAGCGGAACACAAGATTCATGTAAGCACCCAGTACTCTATCAAACACCGAGAACCCAGGGTTCTCAAATTGGTCTCCACTTACAATGGCCTATGTGCTCAGTTGCAGTCTCTGATATGCCAGCGGAGAGCTCCCCCTTCTGCTGTTCTACCTCGCCCCATTATATGTGAGGGCATCTTTCTACTCAATGTCGATGATGAGATCTGGCAAGATATTGGCCTGGATGAAGACAGTATAAACCCACTGGCATGGTTATCAGATGAGGCCACCAGGTCTGGTATTTGTTTACAGCTTGAAGTGGATCAGTGCAGTCGAAGAAGAAACTCGTTTGATGCAAGAGCGGACCGTCATGCAGGAGTGGATGTTTGCAGAGTGGGAGACCATACAAACTGTGTTGAGGGATGCAGGGTGAGTATAGTCTCAGTATACAGTGAATCGCACTTAATTTGTCAGCAGTTGATGATCTTGTAGTGTCATTCCACATGCAGGCCCGCACAGACAAACTTCTTCACATTTGCAGTCATCTGGAAGAAGAAAGTTCAAGAGATCCCTTGCATGTGGCCAGTCAAGAGTTGGGGTCCTCAAAATGAAGATTTACTTCAAGCTGCTCAAGACCAGGTGCAGCCGTCTTTTTTCCAGTGTGAGGATGATGACTGATAAGAGTTTTGGAGAGCAGGAAGAGAGTGACGAGGATGGCAATCTGGCTTATTATGAGGTTGGAGATGATGAACTAATGGATGCAATTGAAGAGGTTGCATTAAGCTGATGAGTACAGGTACCAGGATGAGGACTTTGTTGATGACATTGAGGATACTTTTATGCCTTCATCACCTACAAAATCTTCACTTAAAAAAAGGCGCTGCATGTAACCCTGACACTCTTACATAGTATTATTATTTAACATGTATGTCACACATAGTTGTATTGTACTGTTCCCAATTTTGTTTGAAAATTTATAAATGCTTTCTTGACAAGTAATGATGACTTCAAATGGATGATAATTGTGTGAATGTATATGTTGTAGTGAGTCTACTTCTATGAACATGGCTTATTTGCCACAGTCATTCCCACATATGTGTGTAGTCTTCCCTACAATCCTTTCTTATTTACTGTGGTCCTTCCCACATGTCTCTATGGCCATTTCCCATCCGATGGGAAATGGCCATAGGGACATATGGGAAGGACTGCAGTGAATAAAAAAGGACTGTATACCAATGTGGGAAGGACCATGGGGGATGGGAAATGGCCAAAGAGACATATGGGAAGGACCATGGTGAATAAAACCGCAGTCCTTCCCACATGTGTCTACAGTCCTTTGTTATTCACCACGGTCCTTCCCATATGTCCCTATGGCCATTTCCCATCCCCCATGGTCCTTCCCACATGTGTCTACAGTCCTTTTTTATTCACCACAGTCCTTCTCATATGTCTCTTTGGCCATTTCCCATCCCACATGGTCCTTCCCATATGTCTCTATGGCCATTTCCCATCCCCCGTGGTCCTTCCCATATGTCACTATGGCCATTTCCCATCCACTGTGGTCCGTCCCACATGTTTATATGGTCCTTTCTTATTCAATGTGGTCCTTCCCATATGTCTATATGGTCCTTTCCCACTCACTATGGTCCTTCCCTACAATCCTTTCTTATTTACCTTGGGTCTTCCCATATCTCTATGTGGTCTTTCCCATCCTCTGTGGTCCTTCCTCCAGTCACTTTTTAATGGTTTCAACTTATAGTCTATGTCCTTGTGTTTGATGCTCAATACCTCACAAGCATGTTGGCTTTCCCCGGTGACTCTCTAAATGGTTTCAATTTATATTCTATGTCCTTGTGTTTGACACTCAATACCTCACAGGCATGTTAGCTTTCCCCTGGTGACTCTCTAAATGGTCTCAATGTATATTCTATGTCTTCATGTTTGATACCTCACAAGCATATTGGCTTGATCTCACTATCTCACTCTCACAGCTCTACATTTTTCTTTCTCAGAGTTGGATGTGAGGTATGGAAGACACTTTATGTAGCTTTATTTTCTGCTACCTCAGATCTGCTTATTATTTTGCCTCTTTCCCTTCCCCAAATATAAGTCTCATTTCAAAGTTCAACTGTCATGCCAGATGCCTTGAGATGGTTCTATTGTTCCTGCCTCATACAAATCACTTGGTGATACATATCCATATCCCATATTATCTTGCTCACCCCTAGTCTTCCCTGATGATTTGCCTATCAGATCTGCTCAGAAACCCTGCACACTCTACCTCCTTTTCACATCACTGGGGATCATTAAAGATGAAATATATTGATAGGCCATAGAGAGGTCAGGTCCTGTTGCCATAATATAGAAACCAGGTCTGCAGGACCCTTTATTTCCACCAAGAGGTGCTGCCTGAGGTGGGTGAGAGGACCAAAAAAAAACCACAATTTTCAAAAAATTTTGCCCAAAACTTTTGGTCATAATAGGACCCCTGACACCCCTGCACCATGGGAATTCCCAATGTATGTGTGGTCTAAAGTTGGCTGGCAGTCTTTCCCATGCAAAAATTATTTTGACCCCTGGACCATGCTCAATACATTTCATTTTGGACCCTATACACTTGGGGAAAGACCATACAAACATGGCCAGACCACCTGAAAAGTACCCCCTAGGTGAAAACCTCTATAGGTATAATACAACCTAAGAGGTACCTGAAATGGGGTGACCAAAGTGTCACCTATGGTATCACAAGTGGCGCTCTGCAGGTTGCTGGCTTGCGCACTTATCAGTGCTTACCACACAATAACAAACAATCATTCATAATATGAGTTCCTGTCCAAGACCAACCCACATATGCACAAAATCCGCTACAAGTTCAAATTTTTACTGGACAACCAATGTGAGGAGAAAGGGCCATGGGTGACATATAGAGATATAACCGGCCCCTTCAATGCTCTCCTGCATTGACCTGTGGGACTCCAGCACACACTAGCCGCTGCAGCATTGCATTCAAGATTGACAAAACAGCTAACTTATGCATGGATTAAGAATAAGTGCGTTTGGATGTGGGAAGGCTGGATTTGGAACATGTGGTCATGGCATGGTGGATGAATCTGACGGTACTGAGTTCAAATATAGGCCAGGAGGAACATGTAGAGTGGGGGACTCTGAGCCTCCTTATCCTGCTTCACCTCTTTGACTGCATCCATATCTTCCACAGCCTTTGTCACTGTGTTCCCCTTGTCTCGACCATGTACTATCCAGCTGCCTGCATTGTTCTCATCATCCAGCGACCAACAGATCCATACACTGCATTATGCAGTGTATACAATCGAAGAGACACTTTGTGTCTATTCTGGGCTCAGACAAATAGTAACATCTTTGTATCAGCATGTATATCATGATATGTGCTATCAAACTGCTTATCAAGAGTATTCTCTGGATACATTGCCTCTCGCAAACTGTCAGTGGAAAGCAGAAATGCGACACAATCAGCTAATCCAAGTGTTGTCCACTTGGTGTTGTGATTTGTGGTAAGAAATGATATAGGGCAATGTTAATGCTAATTGGAGTCTGAATCATGCATCTGCCCAAAAAGTGACCTGTGAGAACAATGACAAGTTGATGTCATTGATGCACACCATAATGAACCAAGCAGGAGTGGGTGTTGTTCACGAGCAGCATCCAATAAGACTCATTTATCTGAATGAGGGCTGTATGTCCTGGATAGGCACCATAATCACACTGGTGGTATTAGACATCTCTTGACTTCAATCATTATACTCCTCAGGCACCTTGGTGGTATCAAACCCATTTGACTTTCCATTCACAACATGACCTTCCAGCAATTACTCTTACCCAGTAGGACGGCCAGTAACTTGAAGTCATCCTGTGGTCGTGGTGCATACTGGGGCCCAGAAAGAGGTTGTATCACCAGGGACTGTTTTGAGGAATCTGACAACACACAATATACCTAAGCTCGGAGTTCAAGCACTCTTTTTCCCTATTTATTAGTGGTGGGAGAGGCAACAATGGTTTATTAATAAACAGGTGACACAGGAACCCAAGCCCCTGGAGGACAATGAGGAATATGACATGGTGGTCATCATCACCTGGATCTAAAATCTCTTCAACATGGGGACATTTGCCATTAGATGTAGATGGGGTATGCTGGGTTGTGGCAGTGGCAGGCTCCAGTGATGGAGCCAGAGCAGCAGTCTGTTAATTGTCAGTTGTAGATTTTGCTGCCTCTGCAGCATGAAATTCATTGATAGTTCTTGTTTGCAATGGGAGGGCAGCCTTCTCTGATTGCTGGAGAAGTGCAGCTGTTGGTTTTGTCCATTGTATGGGACATGTGACAAGATGCTCATTACTGTCAATGAAGGCTGGGTCTGGGTTGGTCATGTGAGGGCACTAGTAAGTAGTAGTAGGCAGTGGGGGTAGAAATGCATGTACAGCAGATCAGCAAATAATATAAGCCTGTGTGCATAGAGAAACAGATCAGCAGACAATATAAGTTTGACAGAAGCCTAAGGACAATGATTGAAGGACTGCATGTACAACATATCAGAAAATATAAGCCTGTGCACATAGAGAAACAGTTCAGGAGACAATATAAGTTTGACAGAAGCCTCCAGACAACAATCAAAGGACCTGCTCTGACACTGGAGTGAGTAATGTTGACACTACAAAGTGCACAATCAGAAGAAACATGGCAACTCACTTGTCTGAGGGCCTATTTGGATATCAGAATGGGGAATGTTGACTCCTCAAAGTGCAGGGAGACATTCTGAGTTCTGAGAGATGCTGAAGCACTGACAGGTGGTAATGAGAGGACAAAGACAAAATAGACATGGCAACAGCTATGCAAGCTGTTGAAGGCAGTGCCTTAAAGCCATGGCCTGGGATGGTGGCTCTGGCTTTGCAAAATGGTGGGCCAGGCCAAAGCCTTGCACAAGCCATGCATATCACTATTGATGATGATGACTCAGAGGTTGTTGACAGGTGTGCCATGCTGTGGTAATGAAGATTGATTCTTTTTTTTTCCCTTTATTGATGAGCTGATATCATTCTATATGTAGATCTCATTTCTGCACTGCTGTTAAGAACCATGCTCAAAGGGGGAGAGAGACTGACTCAGAGGGGCTTGGCCTCAGCTCGTACACTGTGCCCCTTACCCGAGTATGTGCCCTTCATTTCATATGAGGTCCGACAATGGTCTAATGAAGTCTGGAGGACTTCCAGAGGCTGGCTACTCTGCTAGAGAGTGCTAGAGGACTTCGAGGAGTGTGGAATGTCGGAGGAGCGCGGGAAATGTCCGGAGGAGCGTGGAGAGTCCAGAGGAACACAGGAAGTGCTCAGGAGAGTTCCCACTGCAAGGTAATACTTCTACAGGAAACAGGATGGAAGGATAGGAGGTCCAAAGGTCCAGAGGACAGGAGGACAGGAGGACAGGAGGGCAGGATGACAGAGGACAGAAGGACAGGAGGGCAGGATGACAGAGGACAGAAGGACAGGAGGGCAGGAGGGCAGGATGAGAGGACAGAAGGACAGGATGATAGGATGTCCAAGGGTTAGGAGGACAGAACATCTGAAGGACAGGATGCCTGGAGGTATGAAGGACAGGAGGTCCAGAGGTCCGGAAGGAATAGGGGCTACATCGGACAAAGTCTGATGTAGAA